GATGGAGAGGGAGTTGAGGGAGTGAAGTGCGGGAGAGGGAGTTGACTCATGGGGAGTCACTCACTGAAGTGGCGTTGAAGTATTAGCGAAGCGAATGGGCAAGTTTAAAGGACGGGAACCTCGGGAATGTGAAAGTTAACGGTGTTTGTAATTATTGTCATGGGGGTACATGACGGGGTGGGCTCAGGAGACCGGTAAGGCAGAAATGGAATTTACACGTTTTGAAACGGTTTTGCACGATTTTTACAGTTTGAAGCCGTGTTGTTGCGCCGATTCTTTTGTTCGAGCGTCGAACAGCATGGCCAACCCCGCACGAAGGACAAACCCTGACGATGCCGCCTTGCTGATCGCCTGCTGTTCTTGGAGCTCCCGCGATCAGCGTCCCCAGCCCATACTCAACCTTGACCTGCTGTGCAAGTTCGCCAGCGCCTGTCAAACCGTGCGCTGATATGCACCGGCCTGCTGCCAGGAACCGAGGTGGTCACCTTGACACTCAGCACTCAGAACTGGGGACTTGGAGTTCCCTAAAACCCGTAGGGCCATCCGATGCCTTTCGATATCTACGATTTGTCACACCGATTTCCAGCTAAGACACCTGTCTGTGGTGGTGCCATGCCCTGGCCATCCCACGCAGTGGTCCATTTGGGCGTTGGAGTTCGGTCCCATATGTATATCGTTTTGGTTATTGATGATCAGATAATCTGATCATTATGACATACCTTGATGCAATCCACACCAAAGAACCGAACCGCTGGAAAAGGTGCAGAGTTTCAGCGAAAACATCACAGTGTCGATGTCACAGCGCCAATTGGACCAGCGCCTGAGCCACCAAAACCCATCAATATTATTTCGCGCGTTCCATCCTACGTGCTGAGTGTGATGTGTGAAACGTTTTTGATCATGGCCAAGTGTCGTTGCCAGATCCGCAATGTTCCTACGCCGCGGCCAGCAAATGTAATCACCTGATTGACTCCAGCTCCACGCATCGATCAGCAATCGATCCGCTGGCGTTCTTGCTATTCGGCACCATGTGCGCGAGGTCAGTACCAACGTCGCAGGCTTGGGGTGGCTCCAGGAGGCCGGGCGCTCATGAGCATTGGAATTGGTCAATCCCACACACATGTCTGGTGTTCTTCCCCGCTTTAATTGGGTCTCTCTCAACGCCACCGAAGCGACAAACATGGCCAATTCTGCCTTTTCCTTCTTTTGTATTGACTCACGCCACAACATCAAGGGTATAGAAGGGTGGGGGCGAGGCAAGTGGCGAGCAATTGTTTTGCCACCCAACGGCCCCAAGCCGGCACCGATCGAAACAGGTCACCCTTGGCAGTTCAACCAGTGGGTACTCGAGGACAGAGTCCCAAAAGTCCGCCACTGCCCACCGGCGCACCATCCTGTGAGGCGATTCAGACCGAAATGGAAGGAAATCTCCATTTCAGTTTGGGTGTGGCACATACTTTTGCACTAAAATTTTGCCCGTTTGGGTCAACCTTGTAGGTTAGCGACCATTAACCTCCCACTGTAGGTGCCTCGCCCCACTGCATGGGGTGACTCAGGTCGAACTTCCGTCGCTGCCGACAGACAGACCAGAGACATGCTTGTGCTTTTCAGATGTGTTTTTGAGATACTTTTGTATTTTTTTCGCCTGCGGCCGCGATTTGACTTCATTCGCCAGCGTAAATTCCGTTCGTAGATTGGGGGGCGTTTTCATTCAACCATTTTTGCACCTTCAAGCAGGAAGCCAGCCAGCAGTCGAGCGCGCGGAGACACAGGGACCCTGCTGCGCGCCCTTTCCAGCGCCGCGGTCGGGCGCAAGGAATCATGCCGCTGAAGCAGCCCATAGGTAGGCGGCGTGGGCTGTTGCCCGCTGGGCTGGGATGGGATCGCGCCGTGGGGACTAGGGGGGAATGCTGTGGCCTGCGGTCGCCTGGGGATGTCTGCCCTCATATGCCTGGTGCTGGAAATTGGCGCCAGTTTGAAGCAGGGCGATGATCCTCACCGAGGGAAGAACGGCTGTCGCACAATGAGCGACTGCCTCTCGCCAATTGAGCCGCGGCCCTATTCAGAACAGTGGAGAGGTTGTGGCAATCTGCGGGGGCGCCATAAAGAGCACGCCGCAGCGAGGTGCACGAATAGAAATAAGACGTGTCATCAGAACTTCTGAGGCTGGTTCAACAGAATCTTGATGCTTTTGGTTCCCCCGAACATTTGTTAGTGGCTGCCGATGGGACTGTGGGGGATGCACGGTGTGGCGCGGCGAGTGATGCCCAGAAGTTGTCGGTCATCAATTTGATTTGGTGCGCGCAGGCCAAAAGCGGCTGACCAACGTGGCTATCGTCAAATACAAGAAGAAAGGGAATTGGTTCGAGACGGCCTGCTACAAAAACAAAGTCGTGGACTGGCGAAACGGCACGTGAGTGCAGGAATGCAGCTGGGTGTCCCTGAAGCGATTGCTGTTTGTCATGCCACCATGGTTCCAGCGCTGTGCGCAGAGCCCAAAACTTTGCAAGTCTGGTAGGCTTCATGGGTTCATGGACCGAAATGTTGTGCTGTCAAGAGTGCATTTTAGCTAAGGACTAACATCTACATTGTCACACCAGAGACAGTCAATGCCTGTAAATGAACAAACCCTGATGCTACTTCCTCCGTCCCAGGTTAGTTGTCGTCTGTTTGATAGGCTAAATTTGTTGTAAGGACAGCCTCAGAATTTCCAAACAAGGTCAAAATCGAAAAGATTGCATCTCAAAACCCTTGACTATCAATTTTCAACAAGGAAAAGTGAGACATGACCCTTTAGAGCGCAAGGAGAAGGTTAATTTTGGTCATTTTCGACCCCAAATATTGAGATTTACTATGTTAAAAGACCCTTGATGCAAAATACTGCCAAATACTCAATACTTAATGGATTGACTTGAAATTTTATGGTGTACTCCCAACTCAGAAGGGCAGCCGTAGGCAAAATTTCATTAAAAACAGGTGCGAGCATGATGGAGAAACAATGCCCCAAAATCATAGACGACAATTAATCTGGGACGGAGGAAGTATATAACAACAATTGGAAACGGGCCAACACAGGCACGGCACACACAGCAACAACAGCGCAGCAACACAGGCATGGCACAACGCAGTGCAATGTTCTTGCTGTCTGGTTGTGTAGCACATGTCCTCACGCATATACCCAGGCCCTGTGCATTTGTGAACGTCTTTGGCAGCAACACTTCTTTGGACTGCATTCCCATTTTGCCTTTTTTTTTGGTGAAATCCATTACATTTGTCATGAACAGCATTATTGCCTTGTGAATGCCTAAGCGTGTTCTTTCCATACTGACCAAATGGTTCATTGTTACAAGAGGATACCAAGGACTGTATTTGTGACATTTGCCAGACGTGCAACTGGGTGACATTGTTTCTAACGTTCCTGTTCACAGATCCAGAACAGGCAGGCCACGCAACTGTTATCCCTTCCTGGTGCCATTCTTTGCTCTTAAATGTATTTTTTGTTCCTACTGTTGCGTCACACTAAAGTCCAAGTCCCTTCCACTTCCTAACAGAAGGGATGTTTGCCTTGTGCCAACCCACAGGAAGTTGCTATTGTTGCAACTGCTTGAGCTTATGTGGCATTCGAATGGATGACTAGGCCTTGCAGTCGACATCCTGTCTTGGGATCAAATCATCCAGGGCTCTGTGTCCACCTAACAGGGGCAGTGGACAATTACCAAATGCACGAGAATGAGCACACAAATTGCAACAACATTCAGCAGGAAGCACATGCTCAGGGCAGCAGTGCAAGGCAGCATTGCTGATGCTGCTTTTCGCTGAATTCCTGTGTCACAGGCTGTGAACATGGTGATTGTATGCATCACAACGATCACATCGCTACCTTGGTTTTGCTGTCACTCTGCTGCTTTGGCTTCTATTGTGGTACAGAAGGAAATAATGTGCAGTGCTTTCATGTTAGGAGGGTGTCCTCCAATCGACGATTCGCCCTCCTGATGTTTAGGCACCCAGCAGCATGTCTTGAATGTTCAAAGAAGCTATTGACCATTCATGTTGGTGGCTGTGATGCAGCGAAACTGACCTGGACGAGGTCTTGCAGACAACAGCAGTATTCAAGAATGTCTCCAAGGGGGTGCTTGCCAAAGAAAAGGACCTTGTGGATGCTTTTGGTACAAATGATGAGAGGGCCATATGCACTGAAATTCTGACCCGTGGCGACCTGCAGGTGGGGCACAGAACCATTGGAGATATTCTGTTTGATTAATTGTGCCAGAAAATGGCAAAGCACTGGCATTGCCCCCTGGAGGCAATGGTGGCCATAATTTCCCTGCAGCATATGATCGAGAACGTTTGTTCACCCCTTGACACTTGGAGATCACCTGTGGAAGAGGAAGAAACCACAGTGTTGCTGTAACTGTTTCAGAGGCGTACATCCTTTGAATGTATTTGGTCGAGAGTGATGGAGCACAGCCCTTGCACCTTGAAGATGATGTCATGTACTGTTCTGCCAACACATTGTCTGAAAAACCAATCACTGATGCGGATATTAAGGTCAAAGTTTGAGCCACTGCAGACTACCGGCAATTGTTTCCCACTTCTTGTACAAGCAAATCATGAGAAGTGGTGAGAATGCCCAAGCATTTGAGCGTAGTGCAGTGAGCCATTCAACAGTGCCACAGGTGTCTGAGAAGGAACGGAAACTGGAGTACGAGAACCTGTTCAAGGGCGTGGCGACAGTCCTATCAGAGAAGTGCGTGGATCCGAACACCAACAGACCATACACGATAACCATGATCGAGCGTGCCCTCAAGGATGTGCACTTCAATGTGGACCCGAAGAAGAGCGCCAAGGTGCAGGCGTTTGGGGAGGTGAGGGTGGGACAGGGCAGGACAGAATGGAAGGTGCTGCTATAGTTGAATTCTGCTTTGACTGTATCTGCAATGACAACTGAAACAAGACACAATACACTGCGTAGGGCTTGCAAGACGATGGCCACAAGATGGTACCTCAGTTGTACTGCTGGTGCAGCAAATAAACTACACAAGGTTGTGTTTGATGCGTATTTGGTGCTTGTACTGCTCTGCAATTTTCCTGCAATCTGAACTTCCCATGAACTTCAGCATCACCTGTCCTGGCAGGTGACCAGCGCGCCCATGTCTTGCAGGCCCTTCCCCTCCTGCAAGAGCGCTTCAGCATCCAGCGGGCAAACATGCGGCTGAGGCTGAAGTTGGCGGCTGCATGCAAGGACGAGATCCAGTCCAGGCTGGCTGAGCACAAGGTGATAGTGGAGTCCAAGGAGGCCGATGGAGCCACTGTAGCCATCGTGTGCCAAGCAGACCCAGGATTGTACCAGGTGATGACTGAAAAGCTGTTGTGATGCCAATGTTGAGTAACATGTGCAGAATGTTGAGAAACTTGCAGCTTGTGGTGGTCAGCATGTTTCCGATCTCAGTGTGAGAAAATGGAGTGTACAAGTTTGCATTCATTTTGATCTTTCAAGGAAGGCAGGGTGAGTTGAGCAGGTCACGCCCATTTTCTTCATCTGAAGAGACCTGCGGGGCTCTGTCAGTGATACAGTTGTCTGTTCTTTCCATTCTGCCTTTGAATACTGGTCACCAGGTGCTGCCAGGCGGTATGAAGCCCAGCTTTGGCCCACTGCATTCATCAGAACATTGGCATAACCCTTGAGATCTGCAGTGGTTATATTTGCACAGGATTTTTATTGTTGAAGTATATTCTAACAATAAATATTGCAGCAAGTAAGAAGTAATGAGTAGATGATATGACTGAAAGTGTTTTTTTGCTATATCTTCAGTGATTCATTTTGTCAAAATGGAGCCATGTGTACATCATGTTACGATGACTGTTGACAAACTGGTGCCCAAGTTGTGCATTCCCTCCCAAGGCTGTTGCAAGCCCCCAACAATCAAGGAATGAACTTGTTTGTCGCATTTCGCTTTGTGCCCTGCTCATGGCTCACACATGCAGAACGAATTCTTCAGCCTGTACCAAACTACATGTTGCTGTGTTGTCTGCATGCACCGAATACATCTCTAAGGTACTGCTCCTTATTGATGCCCAAACTCAGATATTCTTTGGAGTGCTGCATTTAAAAACCTGGTGGAACTGATGCTGGCGTGGCTTTGGTTTTGTGCTTTGCTGACCAATGCAATGGACGGAATTGTGTCAGGTGCTGCTAGCATTGGTGCGTGACCTTGGCAAGGGGCATGGCCACCTGGAGGTGGTGAGCCTGGCAGTGCAGCGTGAGGGAATGAGTGGAGAGGGCCAGGCGTCAGGTGACATTCAGGGAATTCTCAAGGAGCAACAAAGGTGAGCAACGATCTGTATATCACGCCTGCTATCACGCTTGCTAGTGCCTGCACGAGGGCTGGGTAATTGGATGCTGTGTTTTTGGTGCTGTGTGTCTTCTTGTTGCACTTGGAGAGTGCGATGAAGGGCATTTTAAGACATTTGGCATAGGACAGGGTTGTCAAACCACAATCAAAGCAAAACTTCCCTCTCCCTAGCTCGCATTTTGTGACAGCAACGCTGGACCCATTGAAGGCTAGAATTCCAGGCTGTTGATTTTTCGAAGCCATACCGGGACAGAGGAAGGAGACGAAGTGCTATTCGGTGTTGAGTATGCAGGCAATTTGATTAATAGAAACAGCAACTGGACAGCACACATTTCACACATGACGGCAGTAGTAGCATTCTTTCCTGAATCTCAGGGGCTCTTGTTGATATTGGATTGAAGTAGAAGCACAGGGACGTGTCTCTACAATAATATTCTCTTTGATGCAAGGACGAACCAAACATAAGGCTTGTCGTTGTGATGCTGAGCATGGAAGGCTGCTGCAGTTATAATACTGGAATGATCAATAATGTTGGAATATAATAATAATGGAATGGTCAAATAATGGAATGATCAATAATTGTGGAATCAGTCAGCAGCAATGATGAGACATTGGTAACAATGCAACAAGACAGCAATAACGAGGGATATCATGGACGTGGCGATAACTATTTACCATCAATGGCAGTACAGTGGCCCGAATCGGAGGCAACTTGGTGGGCATGTGCAGGGCTTCAGAACTGTCGCAGGTGCCCTACGTCACCAGCCAGCCGGCATCTACCACTGGCCGTCTGAGGGCTCGATCTGAGGAAGACAGCATGGCTGAGGTATCCTATCCCAGGGGTCCCATCTCTGGCATACCTGATGACGTCACCAGAAAACCTATGTTCCTTGAGATAGACGGGCTGCAGCCCGGGTGGGAGGTGGAGTTGACGAAGAGGGGCGAGTCCGGGGTTGTTGATGCTGTCTTTTTTTCACCATCGGGGGAGAAGGTGGGAGCATTTGTGCAGGCCAGGCGTGCTGCGCTGTCGGCCAGCAAAAAGGCAGCAGCGGCACAAAGTACGGTTGAATGAATGCGTGGAATTGCTTAACGCCTTTGCAGAGCAGGGCATAACAGGTTTAGGTACTCACAGGTGCCCATGCCAACAGGTGTACTTGGCAAGGAGCGTTCATCGGTTGAACTGCAGAACAGAATTGTCGCACCTAGGAGGCAACGATGGGCAGCGAGGCTGGGAGTGTGCTGTTGCTCCTCCGTTTGCTCTTTTGCTTCAACAATCCCACCTTTCATAGCCTATATCCTGCAGACTTAAAATGTGTTGAAGAGTGCGCACTGCTGAAGACAATCTGTTCCTTCTTTGCCTGCTTGGCAACAGCTGCCTGGCTGTTGATGTGTATTCGAATGGAAAATATGCAACAGCCATCACATAGTGACAATGATCCAGTTGCACACCACTACATTCTGTGACTGCTAATGTGTACCGTAGAAAACAGAGGATAGTACGTAGGGTGTTGAATGGCGCAGGGCCCTTAGATAACGCCCGTGTTATCAAATATATCCACTGCTGCAGAGCGTGGGGTGCACTTAAGGTAGCACTGGGGTTTGCAGCTCGCACAATGGGACATCCTAGTTGACTATCAAAGAAGCAGCGATGCAGTGCACGAAGTCACAGCATTGCTACGATGATGTCCTCCCACATTCAGCGGGATTGGCGTCCTATTTAGACTGGCAGTTAATGTGTTAAAGTGGTCTGGTGTTCAATGTGGCGACGTGGGGTTGTTAGTGATTCATCGGCCCGATGCACAACACACAGTTGCATGCAAGATAATACCCCCTGCGTTCTTGACGCCAGCCCTGATGCTCAAGGCGAGGGTGGGGTGGGGTGGCACACTATTCTCCGTAATCTATGGTACTACTGTGTATGTTACTATATCTGGTGTGATGCAGTGATTTGTGTAGTCTGATGGAAGTGCACTCTGTTGCACAGCTTCTGATAGACTCCAGCACTGACAGCTTGTGAAGATGTGCACCAAACCCCAATGGATCGTTTCGATTGGCACTTTCAGGATCGTCACTCCTGTGCGCAGCTTTGCACACGATCAAGGCAACAAAATTGATGCGGACCTTTGCTCATCCCATGCGATTGATCCCTGCAAATGTTTTCTGGTGCTGCTACACAGCCACTGTAATTGTCACATTTTGTGGTCCATCTCCAAATAAAGAAAGAATCTCCAGCATCGCCGACATGCGTCAGCCATTGTCTGCTATGTGCCGCGCCCTTCCAAACCTCCCTGGGGTGCCCTGCCTCCCCTTCACCTTCCCCCTTCCACCCTCCTTCCCACCTTCAGCACTCCTTCCACCTGGCACACCTTTACCATTGCCAGGTCCCTTCTCCTGTCCCTTCCCCTTCCTTCCTGCCTTCCTCCTGCCTTTGCCACCCCTCCCGCAAGGATCACGGTTTTCATCGCCAGATTCCGCCCCAGAGCTCACCCTCCGCTTCCTCCCTGGGGCTCGGGTAGGTGTGCTCTTTGCAGAACGGGAATCGATGGCTTCAGGTGTCTGGGCGGACTGCTGAAGATCAGACCCGGCTTCCTGATCGCCCGAGGTCGCTGAGGGTGACAACATGACCTCGGCCGTCACAACGGGGATCTTCCAATGCACGTGCCGCTCCTCCTTGGCATGGAGGCTTGGAAGCACGATGTCAGGGGCCCTTGTGGGGGAGCCATCCGCCTGCACATAGCTCGCACATCTGAGTTTCACGGAGCACTGGCTGACGCTTCAGGGTCTCAGTGGTCTTTCTACCCAGCTTACCACCATGTCTCTTTGTGCTTAAGCACATGGGCAATTTCCAACTATTCTGTGCAGACAAGGCTGCACCAATGAATTAGTTGGGCGCCATGTTGTAATGAAATTACGGAAAAAACGGACCCGGGTACCCGCAGTTTCCAGAACATGGGTGCCCGGGTGCGCCCCGGTAACACGGGTACACTCCATACCCGGGTAATCACGAATAACTGGGTACCCGGGTGCAACCAGTGTTAACGCTCGATATGTCAATGGGTTCCTCGCAGTGCGCAACCGGGAGCGGAGAGGTCGTGCCGAATTTCCCTCGCTCTCGCCAGCCGCGGCAAGAGCAGGCTCAATTACAGTACCAGCCTTTTTCTATACAAGACCAAAGACAGAAATCCTTTCCTCATTCGTTGGTTCGAGAACATGCCCAATTAGTTGGCAGTCCTCTGCATACATGACTCATACACAAACGAAATCCCTTACCCTGAGTACGCACCATCCATAACACCAGTACCCAGGTCCGGGTACATATACGGGTACGGAACCGGTTCGCCGCGCCCGCCTGGCCGGCAGCTGTCCAACGAAGTCCACGACGGCGACGCTGCAAATGGTGTACAATAGTTTGCGGACGGAGGTGGTGGCGCCCGTCCGTTTCCGAGAAATATGTAGTATTTCGCGGACGGACGGACGGTGCGTCCGCGAAAGGGCGGGGTAGCAGGCCTCTCCGGGAGGCCGTGGGAGGCACGAGATCCGCAGCGGAACACCACCTATGCACGGTGAAGCGTGGTGCCCACGTTGACTCCTTGTGGCCGTCGATCGATGCCACTCGCGGGTGCCAATCAGATCACCCGTGGGTAGCACCGCTCGGCAGCCACGAGGAGCGAAAGTGGCGGGAGTGGGAGGCGAAGTTCGACCTCACTCTCCCACCGTTTTGTTTCCCACTGTTTTGTGCCCATGCTTTGGGCCCCGCGCAGGCTGCACTTCACCCCTGGCATTCGCCCCTTGTGGGCACCGATTGATGCCACTCGCAGCATCACCCCCTCGCGGGCGCCCGATTGATGCCACCCGCGGGTGTTCAATTGAGGCGCCCGGGGGGAGGGGTAGCGGCGGCACCAGTCCGTGGCCGCAGGGGCACAAATGGCGGGAGTGGGAGGCGACGTTCGGCCTCCTACTCTCGCCGTTTCATGGCATGCTCTGCGCCCAAGACTTGGGTTCAAAATAGGCCGTAGTTGGCAGTTTGCAGTCGCTCCCTGTGGCCGCCGAAGGATGCCACCCGCGGATGCCAGTCAGGGCACCCGCGGGTGGCACCGATCGGTGGCCGCGAGGGGCGGAAATGGCAGGAGTTGGGGCCAACTTTGGCCTCCCACTCTCGTCGTTTTGTGGCGGACGCAGCCGCACAGTGTGGACATGGGTGACCTTCGTGAAAACCAACGCGGTGCGCAGCAACGCACCGAGCGACCGCTGGTCAATTGCGCAGTATCTGGGTCCGTACCCGGACCCAGGTACTGGCAGTACCCGGATAATCAGGTACCAGGCTGCACCCGCCTATACCTGGGTACGTCCCCGTACCCGCCTACCCGGGTACAAGGGTTGGCGGGTACCCGCGCAGGCGGGTACAAGAAAAACCAGACCCGGCCTGGGTACCCGGGTATCCTGTGCCCAGGTGCCATCCCTATACAGGAGGGGTCGTGCTTCAAGATATCAAGGCCAAGAGGTCCCTCAGTGCGAGGGAAAGTTTGTTGATTAGCACAGTCGAACCTTTCTCACTCAAAAACTAATTCGATGGAAAACTTCAATAGCCCACAAAATAGGGAACTATTCGCTGTTGGTCAATAAACACACAAAAGGAAACTGATCAGAAACAATGGAGAATGAACTTGTATCGATTGTGCTCTGTTTCCATGGATAATTGCACTACATTTGGGGACAAAAAGCCATGGAGACGAGAACACAACGTTTCTTTTGTGCAGGAGAAAAATGTACAGCAACCTCCAGGAGCAAAGAACGTGGTTGTCCACTGGGTGCTCGATTCTTGCGTCAAAGCCAGATACTTATAAAAACTGTAACACATATGTTAACATTGCAGTATTATTACACACTTATGCATACAATTGTATCACTCCCACAGATTCCGTACTCCACAACAGAAGGCATATCAAGCACAGCGCACCGTCCACCACGTGCACCATACACTTTCAACAAAACACTGCCCATACAGGATAACACATTCTACATGATTAGACATACCGTTGTTTTTTAAAACCCTTCTGCACAGTAACGTATCGCTTGACCCTTTTTCCAGAGAAAACAACAAAAAAGTAACGCTCTTATAACAATCTTTTTTGTGGAGCAACGTAAAAACAATGCTCTGAAAAAATTGCGCAGCAAACAATGCAACGGTTAAATTTTCCGTTGTGGAAGGGATTAAAACCAAACGGTATAATTTCCACATCTCTTCTGCTCAGACTGGGACAGCCCTCGAGCCTTAACAGCGGCACAGTGCTTAGAACATAAACAACAACACCGTGCATGTCATGGGTCGTAAATGTCACATTACATACCACAGGTTGTGTGTCGTCAATGTCCATGTGGTCACTTGGCGACTGCACGATGGCTGGGGTGGGCTGCCGGTCTTGCTCGACCTCTTTGAGCGACACAGCTGGCGGGATGGATGACCTGGGCGACTTTTGCCTCTTCAGTCGAGGAACAGACATCGTACCCAACGGACTGTGGCCTCCAGGAGTCTGCGGCAACCCATTGGTCTTGGCATTCGGCGTGCAGCCTTCCCCTCCTGCGCCCGATGCACATCGCAAGTGCATAGTCGTTATTGAGAACAGGGACCAAAAACACGGGTGTTAAAGCAGCATATGGCCCCATTAGCCAAATGATGGCCCACTGAATGGTACTTAGCAAACGCATTATCGACGTCAGAAACGCTGAGCCCAATGGGCATCGCAGGCCACTGGTACGGGTCATCGATGAATTTGGGTTGAATTGGACTGTGGCGTTTACGGAGACATCGTCGCAGGCATTCGATCTGTTGCCATATACCCGGCATTGCCTCGCAGGTACAGGGGTCGTGTTTCGTCTAGTATTGGCAAATTATGTCAAAGGCCTTACGCCACTGGTGAAAATGAGCCACAAGAGAAGGTTGCCGGGGCACGACTTGACACCGTTGCAGTTAGTTCAAGAAGTAGCCAATATTTGCCCAGTTTAAAATCCATTCAAGCAATACCAAAAAGCACACGTTGGCCCCATTTAATTTCAATTTAAAAACATCGACCCCTAACTTTCAACTAAGTTGGAGACATTGAATCACACGTACCGCCCCATTTCAACTCAAATTCAAGAAATATCACTACTAGTTTGTACTAATATTGTATTTTATGTACTGATACTGTCTTTTAATTTCTATCTTATTTTTTAATAATACTGGTCCCATTTCAACGCAGTGCACGTCACTGGTGCACGATTCCTTGTTCATTGCATCATCGACCTCTGGTACCCGTTTCGGTCAGGCGCAGGTGCCCGCTGTGCGACATTTATCCCAAAGGTGCGGCTGTCTCAACCACTTATTACGCGTCAAGGGCGCAAGTCACAGCCAGGGCCTGGCTGGCCTGACTGGGACATGATTTGCCTGACTGTTGTGTAACTGGGGTTTGGGTACAGGGCCAAGAGTATATTGCCCCCTACTCCTTTTCCCTTGGGATCCGTTTTCCTTCTGCTGACAAGTCCAACGTAGATCAGTGGCCGTGTGTCCCAGTCTTGATAGCTGGCAAACAGCAACCGGCAACCATAACACTGTGTACTGTGCAGCACGCCAGCCTGGCAGCTTGGGGGGGAGGGGCGCGCGGCTTATGTTTGTGTGGGAGTTAGGTGGTTTCAGGAGCTACGACCGCTGATCCACCTCGTCAGCAAGTAAGAAACCGACATTCACGCAAAAGAAAGAGGCGTGAAATTAATACCTCTGTCTTTCTTGTGATTGTCGATACTTGTTCCAACACCCTAAACCCTAAAACCACTGAAACCCCAACGCACGTTGGCCTTGACAGCAGCAGAAGAAGCGATCTTCAAGGGAAATTGTGGGGACCAATATATTCTCAAAGGAAGAGGCATGCAATTGGCCGTTTTGTCAATTCCGTAAAGATCCCTTTGTGCTTCGACACCCTAAACCCTATGCCTACCACTGGCCAACGTTGGGCTTGTCAGCGGAAGAAGAAAGGATCCTCACGGAAAGGACAGGGGGACTCATATATTCTCAAAGAAAGAATGATTATTCCATGCCCATGGGGCCCACGCCCCTCACGACCCTGACTGTGGCTGATGTCCGTGACGCGCACCATCTCCCTCAACGGGCACGAAATTAGTCCCTCTGCCTTTCCCGTGAGAATCCCTTCTTTTTCGGCACCCTGAACCCTCAAAACCACTGACCCATTGACGCGCGTTGGCCTTATCAGCGGAAGAAGGGGCAATGTATTGTAATGTAATGTATTGTAATGTAATGTATGTAACGTATTCTCCGCACACCCTCAACGCACCTCCACCCAGGAAGCGTATGTGGCCGTCCACCAGCAACCGCGCGTCGCTGTCGAACGCCCCCGCCGCCACCAGCGCCACCACGACCGCAGCGTCCTCCTTCCGCAGCACACCCCTGGCGTCGATGACGACCTCCGTCTCGCCGATGGGTTTGACGGCCTTGCCGGCCAGCAGCTTGGAAGAGAACACCTTGACGAAGTGGAGCTCGGCGGCGGTGGTGGCTTCCAGGAGCCTGCGGAGGACGTCCCTCACAGTCTCTGGCCCGCAGGAGGCCAGCACTGCGAGCGCACACACAGGGCATCCAATCCGATTAGCGATGCAGAATGCTGGCTGAAATGGCTGCGCCTGCAGCATTACGCGCACCCCAGGCCAAAATATCGACAAGACTAAACTGTGAGCGGCATAGACCACGGGCTCGGCAGGAAGGCTCCAGCACGCACAGTTGTTCGCACAGCCCGCTGTCAAGCTGCGGTGGCTTTGGACCAGCCTTATTGTGACTTTAATGGTAACCATAGTTTATCAGCATTTTCATGTTTTGCTTCTATCCGCATTTTTACCCAGCTGAGTTCGAGAGAAACTGCTTGAGAAGCATGAAGAGGGGCAAGCAAACGGAATGCCCTCACGTCAAGCCTGCTACTTGTTGATGTGGATTTGGGTTTGCCTAGACTGCCAATTTCATGCATGAGTTTGGTTCATCTGCGCAAAGTGGTATAGAAGAAGAGGGACATGATTACTTCGCGGACAGCCGCGAAACATAAGGAAGGAAATGGTGCGAATTCATAACAAGGCAGGGACCATTCTCCACAGGCTATTTCAGGGCGTTGCGATAAGAGCAAGTAAATAGCAGAATTTCCTTATTCCATAATAAAACAAACATCAAGCAGTCAATGAAATATTAAACACTACTGTTGCTTGATAATTACCAAAGTATGCAATACAAGTTTTGTTCAAAGGACAGCTAAATGACAGGAGCATGGAGCGTCGTGATTTGACATTAGACGCCACAAGAGAGCCTGTCACTTTGTAAATTCTCTAATGACAATTCCTTCACAGGATACAAGGACCCTGGCAGCTGCTTGGAGACGAATCGGGAAAGGATAGCACCGGCGTTCGTTCCAAATTGTCATGATCGTCACATACGAGCAGCCAGCCTAAAATGTTGTTGGCTGGCCTGGCAACCCAAAAACACAAAATGAAAACCAGCCAGAAATGACAGATGAAACAAAAAAGGCCAGAAAGAAAGCCCGACAAAGGAAAGATCACAATCACAAGGGCCTGAACGGATAGCCGTGCCGGCTGCTCGAGGGGGTTTCTACCTGCAAGTCCTTCCGATGCTCTGGCCGTTTGGGCCCCTGGGGTCAACACTGGGTTGGGCGTGCCCATGAGCTGCTGCAGGGGCGTCTTGCAACCACCGCTTCCCATTGGGGACGCGCCCACTGGACTTGCCTGAACCGGACCTGCAACACGGGGAACGAATTCCCCTTTGAATCCGATGGTCACATTCTGACCAGTGTCCACATGAGTGAATGCTGATGTGCTGGGCTGTGAGTCATCAACGCAAATTCGCCTTTGTGTGGCACATCACTCATTTTGCCCAGGAGGCTCTACCTCATATGGAGACGACACTGGTGGAAAATGACACTGGAACAGACGACGCCAAGATTCGATCCCGTTTCAGTGTGGCTTAAACTACAAATACAAGGATTTCAGCAGTGTGCTATTAACTTGTATGTTAAAAGTGCGCTGAGATGGGCAACTTTCGGGGCCATTGTGCAACGTGTTTGCTCCCACAAGTGTTTATCAGGCATTCAGGCTGAGCCAAAGCAGAGAAACAAAACAATATGTTCTTACCCTGGTAATCACTTGTCCCCAAAGTTGTGTTATTAATAAATTGATAAATCTATTTGCTTACTACTGCTACTTCCAAATTTAATGTGTTCCACACTTCACATGTTGTGTGGCACAATAGGCACATCTGACGTATTGCCAGGAACAACTCTGAGACAGTACATGACCAGCATTGGTAGTCCCTGATCACTGGCACATGCTGCACATGACACACCGGTGAATTGGTCCAGTAGTTCATGCGTGTATGCAAAGACACATGTGTATAGTACGTCAAGGACGCAGAGAAAGGCACACATTTTCAGCACCACAAGGCATCGAGTTCTTGTTTGGAGTCGGGATTACCTTGATTGAGGACCTCAACTGCACCAGGAGTATCCGGCATTGCACCTGGGATGGAAAACAAAGTATTGAAAACGTATGGCACGACACAGTGCTCCTGAAGTGCTGCACATAGGTGCTAACGCATATGTACTGAATTGGGACCCCTTTGCCATAAAGGATGTTGGAGGGGCAAATAAATCGCTGGGACCAACAAGACAGTTTGAACACAACATGCAACGCAACGAACTAGTGATTATTCATCTATCTATGCTTATTATTTATTTATTTATTTATTTAATGTACCTATCTGTATATCTATCTATCTATCTAAGTTTTTGAAATTATTTGAATATTGGTTAAACTACTCGTCGCTGTGCAGAATTAGGATAGCAATTTCAGCAATCCACTGCATGAGCACCGAGACCCTCCACTGACATTTTACGTTTTGAGTTAACAAGGGATTGCCATCAAAATCTCAAGGAACATTCAACATTAACATGGCGCTTCTTCGAAGTTTCAAGAAAATCGCTCTGGTCATGTTCTGCATCCGTAAGCACTTGCTTGGGGTACGGATTCCACATACAACTGACGATGTCTGCATCAACCCTTGTATCAAGGAGTGCCATTCTTTTCCAAACAGCGAACACGTTTTCAACAAAGTTTTGTTTGTCACCTTTGGACAAATTATGCCTCTTAGTCAGAGGAGTGCCGAAAGTTTGGGGACGATTTTTATCTTCTCTGTCATGGCCATGCCATGGGGATTATGCAAACTCCCGAATCCTTGCAAATCGGGTCACAACATGAAAGGATGCAGCCACTGGATTTGTTCTGATTGCATCACTGCAGTGCAACTCCAGGATCGGTGCAGTTCCGAGCTGATATTATCCAGACAGTTCCCTGCAGGAAATCAATCCAATGCTTGATCGGTTGGCCGACCAAATGATGGATTCAATTGAGCAAGTGTTTGACCAGTTAAATGACTGAGCAATATTCAGTCAATGTGGCAAATTCATGGTGCACGTACACTTCCAAGCAGATGAACTTACTGGGTAAATCATGCAATGATGGACAAGACAGATGAACATGAAAAGGACCAAAAAGGGACCAGAAAAGGAAAATTGATGCACTGTTTAGATTGGTTGGAAGAAAATAAGATGTCCACAATAGCAAGAGGACAAAAGAAAGAAATCGGGAAGAAACTATGAGTCTCGACACTGGAAAGGGAAACATATGGCAAAGTGAGTGCCAGCTTCTAAGTAGCCCAACTGCTCACCTATTGGAAGGAGTTTTGTGGATTCGACAGCAGGTGAGTGTGTGCGTTGACCTGGCGTTGTCATGCTTCTTCGATTGGCGTCATTGGACGACATGGACAACTTTGCCTGTTCTGCTTGCTTCAGGTCGTACAGGATCTCTGTGGCAAGCTGCAGGCATCAAGGCAAATTGGTATCCGTTTGTTCAGAATGTATCGATTCAGATGCAGCTGACTAGGACGATTCACAAGTTTGTTGAGCATGGCAGCAGCCCACCATATATGTGATGAACAATACAGTATGAATACACAAACGAATATGACAACATATTGCGTAAATATTTTAGGTACAATGAACACACCAAAAAATGCAACAAATTGCTACAAAACCCTCAACCATTCTGCCAAGGAAGTTGCTGCCAGATTTCAGCGAAACTTCAGGGGAAGTTACTGTGCTTTAATGACCGACAACCATCAACAATATACCTTTGGTCCCAAATGCCATGCCAGGGAAACAGACACATTTTGCTGCGTTGATTTGAGTTTTTTCAACAAACTTGTTCTCATTTTGCGATTGGCTGTGAGCCACCACTGGTCTGTTGATCTGGTCAGTTGACAAACAACCTTTTGATGCATTTGTGCGGAGTATGCAAAAACCGCAAGTCTGGCAAACACAACAGACCACCGCATTACACTTACTCCTCTTCTTCCAGTCGCACTAAATGCCACCCCTGCACGTTCTAGGCAGTGTCGCTCTGCATGCATGTTGCAAATACGCCCCGTACACAATGATTTCCTTTGACTTTGGTTTGTCCACATCGAAGGCACAATCGAGCCCTGACATTGGCTTCGACCACCAGGGTGTAAACACAGCGTCTATTTTGCGGTTTTGAAGAAAAAATAGCACCTACATGTTTACACATAAGTGTACATGAAAAATACTATTACGTAAATACAGACCTTGTGCACATAAAGACAGTACATAACATACAGGTATTCAGGGGAGTGCAGCCAGACGCACTGGTGTGGGTAGAAAACGACCTTTTGCTCGACGACGTCGCTGCCCTTGCTGAGGGCAAAGTGGACGCTGTGTTGTGTGTGGAGGATGTGTTGTGGGTGCTGGAGGGAGGGGGGGAGAGGACTGATTATGTTTTTGCGACTTCATCTTGGTGCTTGACGTCCCAATGCACTGCAAGACAACTTAAATATAGCCGAGAAATAACCGTTCCTGTGTGTTGTGTTTATACGCTTTTCTGCGTAAAAACGTGAAAATGGTGCCATAAACGTAAACGAAAAGCCTGGCATTGAGACACTAGCAAGCCTCACCTGCTTGTCAGCTACAAGAATGTCCTTGATCTCGTTCTTGTGGTCACTCAGCATCGATCTCAGACACAGCATGAAGTCAGCTATCAGTGGGTGTTGCCTGGAGTTCAGCACACACTTGAGCGCTATCATCACTGGCACCACTGCCTCCAGCAGGTGGCGTCTCATGAGCTCTGATACTGCCTTCCCCCTGGCCTTTTGCGACAAGCTGCCCTGGGAGCCCGCCTCGGGGCCGTCCAGGTCTTCATCCTCGCTGCCACTAGCATTGACCTTCACCTGGAGATCATCATCAAACACAGGAGATCAGCGACTTGTGCTGACGCATGATGGTTGCAGTGGGAGTTTGCTTGAATATCTACCAAAAAGTCTCCAACAACGGTTCTCCCTTGTTGTGGTACAGAGCTTGAATTGCTGAGCATCAAGTCACCAGGAGGGAGGCTTGCTCCATTATGTGGAATTTACTATATCTTCTTGATTCCTGGAGACGAGCAAACACTCTGGCAGGACAGCGTGACAGCGTGATGTACAATATTTTTGATGGACATAGTCAAATGATGGACTTGCAGTGACGTAGCCTTGCAGGTTGCTATAGCATTATTTATTGTTGCAGCCAGAACGCCTGCTTCACACATACCTTGATTTCTTTGCTGGCCAAAATCCTCATCGCATCTCCCAGGACTTCCTCAACATCATCCAGGAGCAGCACTTTGTCCGCCACTCCAGCCAGCACCTCCTTGCACAACTTGGCAGCAGTTGCAAACTTGTGCTCTGGCCGCATGTGCCTCAGCAATGTTGCATAAATCGTGTCCCGTCGGGACCTGCAGCAATGTTCACCAAACCCATTTCGTACATTCGATTGCTGAACTTACTGATGAACAATCCACTGCTGACAGCTGATATGATACTGCTAATTGCCAAAACGGTTTCTTCACATGCGTCACCGCCAGAAGATAAGCTGCTGAATGACTAAAGCGAAGGAAGCAGATTGTGATGGCCATTTGCAGGCGCTCGAATCTTCAGTGCAGGTTTTTTGTGCCCAACGTCAGCAACTCATCTCACCTTGCCCATAAAAGCAGGATCTTTGGAGTACTGGTTCATGTACACAACATCTCTCCAGTGCTCCAGTGCAACGCTTAAGAACAACTACTCTTGTTCCCACACTGCTTTCTTCCTCACTAATGATTTCCGTTCTTCACCTTAATCCATCCTTCCCTTCTCACATCTGACACGTTCACAATCGTTCACCTTTGGTTTTGCCAGCTCCATTCAATGCTTGTTCGCAACGTTTTCCACCCTCACCTTGCCTTCTTGTCAGACCCCCGGATCCCTGCCTGCACTGCCTCTTCGTCGCTCAGGCCCCCCAGCGCGCTGGCCAGCTCACCCTGCAGCCCCGACCGGCACCCGTTGAGCACAAACAGCACCTCATGGAAATAGTTGTATGCCAGCAGGGGCGCCTTGGTGGCCACGGCGTCCGCGACAATGTACTCGGCTGTGGCCCTGTTGCGGGCCTCAGGGTCCACCAGCGCCAGCAGGATGCGGACCACCACTGGTCCCCGCCACCTGATGTAGTCCTTCTGCAGGAGCTTGAACAGGAGGCCCAGGGACTGGTAGCGCACAAGGGGGTGGGGGTCGGAGATGGACTTGGCCAGGGTGGGCACATGGGCGTCGATCAGCGCCGTGTGCTCGATGCACAGGTCGGAGAGGATGACAGCGATGTTGTTGCGGATCGCCGGGTTGCCAGCTTGCAGGAATTCCTGGGGTCAGTGGCAAGGCAAGGTGGGTGCGAGTTTTGTCATGGGGAAAATAGTTGAAGAGTGGGAGCAAAAGTGCAAGGCAATTGAGGTGGACACAAAAGTAGTGCTATTTGATAACAACATGCTAGTTTCTTTTGGCAACGCAGGGGCGACACCTTCATGGTGTACAAATGGGGTCCTGTGAAAATGTTGGCGTTGTCAAAAGTGAGGTGCAGAACTGGCTGAAAACAGAGAAACTGTTGGAAACAAGTTGGTATGAAAAGGTTTGGGGGGTGATGTCAGGAAAGGCAGACACAAAAATGCAGACTCTGCAAGGGAAAACAATGCCAAGGCCCCACTGACCTGCACCATCCTGGGCACCATCTTCTTCGCCATCCGCTCATCAAGCAGGCAAAATTTCCCAAGAGCGGTCCATGCATGGCATCGCACATCACCAGGCACGACAAGACACTCGGCACCCATCTGGGAAGACAAGGCGCCAGAGGCCTGTCCTCTGATCTGCCCCACTGTTGGGGCGCTGTCTGTTGGGCTAGGCCGAGGCATCAGTTTGGGCTCTGTGACGGTCATGACCACAGTGACAAGGCGCTGGGGAATTCTGCAGCGGCACAGCATGGCAACCTCACCGGCAGTGAACAGGGCAGAGATTACCTGCTGCCTGTTGCCACGATGTTGGCACCCTCCTTGGTGTGGGGCCTGCAGGGAAGTGGATCGAAAGTGTGAGTCAACGAGTTGGAGGAGGTCCATGATTATGAGTTTGGAATTTAAAGGTTGTGGGCAGATGCCAGGTAGACTTCTTCATCAGTAGCAGCAACTTGCAGGGCTACACCGATCGGTGGCAACAATTGCTGCGAGCACACCCTGGAGTAGCAAGTGTCCAGATAAGCAAATCTGATCCAAGAGCAGCCGTAGTCATACGTCAGTGCTCGGCCTGACACAAATTGCCTCTGGGTAGACAGGTAGCGCTTTGTCACAGTCAGTCATAATCACTGCAGTTGTTCAAGAGTGGCAAACTTCTGCCAGAAGGCCTTCCAGCAAAATTGGGACTTGGGAGTACACAGGAATTCTCAGAACTTTTATGAAGCATGAAGCACATTCATGGATTGGAAAATAAAAAGAAACACAAAGAAGGACAAACAAAGAGCGCAGGACACAACCTGTGAGATGTACTCCTCCACTATTGATTGGCATCTGTCCCTTGCGTGGTCGGCCCAGCCAAGCAGCCCATTCGCAGCGTCGCACGTGACCCTCCCTGTGAGCTTCCTCAATGCCAATGCATGGGCGCCAGCGGCTGCTGGGTCGAGGGAAAACGTCAGCAGACCCTGTAGCATAGGCCACACACAACTGACTGTGCAAGTTACAAACCAATGAATGTATGTGCTGCACCAAATGCTGTCTGATGGATGTGTCTAGGCAGGGCAGCATTTTGGCCACGATTATCAGTTGATCCACACTTGAATCACACGAACTGACTTTCCTGCCACCTTACCTAGAGTTTGCAAACACATGGCTTGTGGAGCTCTGATAATGGGTGGCTGAACGGATGCCAGTTAGCTGTTGATGTGGTGGAGAAGCGGTGGTTTTGGGGGGTAATGTCTTGTCAACAAATGTGATCCGAAGAATGGAGTGACAAGATTTGTGTTGCAGTGCTCACAACTAAATATTCTTGCTGCTCATGGTCTGCAGATGAGCTTGTGCAGACCATGAGCAGCAAAAGTATTTTGGGCGTCTAGGGCCTTTTCTTGCCCATCGCAACCTGCATGGCTACCCCATTCATTTCAGCTCCAGGTTGCTGCCCACCTCCAAAAGCTGTTTCGCCAGGTGTGGCACCATCTCCACAGGGAAGGCTTCTGCGGCATTTGCCATCACCTGCAGAGCAGTCCGAATTGTTTGCAACAATCCGCAAACCAGTGGCATTGTGCCTACTGTTCGGTGGCAGGTGTTTGCGGAGGCGCACAGTTCCATCGTGTGAGCTTTTATGAATAGAGCAACAGCAGACCTGCTGCAACCTGCAGCCCAGAGCTTCGTCGATCACGAATGCCAATTGATGCAGAGCCCTTGCATGGTCCTCACTACTGAGTACTAGTGCAAGGCTGTGGCCACTCGTGTTGCTGAAGTATTGCAGAAGTGTACCATTACTTTTCCATCCACAAGGGCATCACCTGCAGCAGCAGTGCAGTCGTGATGCCACTGTGCACATTTGCTGGCGCTGTGGCTGTGCCACTACTTTGCTCCCAGTGTCGCTGCAAGAACTGCCATGAGGGGGCTCTGGGGTCCTGCGCAGCGACTGCCCTCAGCAGGTGCCAGGCCCCTTCCACTGCCAGGGATTCGTCTTCAGTTGATGACCCCAAACCTGGGAAGGACACAACATTGCTGCAACACTCCTTGATGAAGTAAAAGAAGAGCTGAAACAAAACACAAGTAAGATATAGAAGAAATTTGGGCCAGTGTTTGTCCGTGCCATTACCAATGAAGTTATGAGCAGGGGCTGGACACTAAAGAAGCAGATGGAAGTTTGTTCAAGTGCTTGCTTCTGGGAGTTTGAACAACGCAAATGCCATTGCATGGATAATGGTTCACTACTGTTTCCTAAGGACAGGAGTGGAGACTGAGAACTTGACTGCAACACAAAGCAATCGAGCTCAAAGTACACATGGTGGACGATTGGCCCTGCCACTGCATGGATGCAAGGCCGCAAGGGGCGCACCATCGATGACGAGCTCTGCACCCCGGGCCACCTTGTCCGCCCTCAGCAATCCTTTGGTCTTGGACATCTTGCATGCCACCCCAAGGCATGACACACTAGAGGCAGTCCCTGCGATGGCATTCAGGATCGGCCTCAAGACCCCAGCCTTCTCTTCAGCTGTGGGGCCCGGTGGATCAGAGGCACAGCCCACAGCTTGGGCAGGCAGGATAAAGTTGCTGTGGAAGCTGTCGGTCGCAGAATCGCGGATGGAGGTCTCTGGGTCGTGGACGAGCGGCAGAGCAGCTCTGACCCAGAGGGAGCAGACAGGTTGGTGCAGGGGGAATTCGGTCATCAGTCGCGAAGATGCAGTCAGTGCCGCTCGGCGCACTGTCAGCTAATGTGCACAAGGTGGGGGTCAGTGCAGACAGTGCATGGTGCCAACCTACTAAACGATTGAGAAGTTTTGAAGAGATTAAGCAACCACAAGCACTGAAGAAGGTTCTGCGAGCTGGTGGCAGGATTCTGCCAAATGGCAGTAAAAGAACTGAAAAGAAACGAACGAATTGAGAATTAAAGTGAATTAGAAACGAAAGAAGTGAGGTGCAACTCCTCAAGTGAGGAGTGTCTGAAACCTTGAATTGCAGTGCAGGTGTACTGGTCATGGCCACAGCTTTCTGAGCTGCCTTACCAAAGAGTCTCCCATGGCAGCCTCGATGGCCTGAATTGGCTGCTCTGGTACAGGAAAATCGGCCCCATCACCGCCAGGGGCAAAGAGCCGCATCAGCACAATTATCGCCTCTGTGAGCTGCAGAGATGCTTTTCGTACTGAGCTCTTTTCGTCCCCAACATGCAGCAGGGCAGCATTGCACAGGCCATCCTGTGAAGCAGGGTTAGAATTCAGTGCCGCTGGGCAGAGAAAATTGTTTGCAACGGACGGAGTCAGGCCTCATCACAAAAGGCTGAAAGAAATTTGAATGCTTGCACAAACAGATCGACCAATTCCTGGTCCACAGCAACCAAGGTTGGTATTGTCAAGGATTCAACAAATGGCAACCCAACCAACTGTGGCTTAATGGCACTGGCCAAAAGGGAATGGGCGTTAAAGCTTCTACCCTCATAGACCACAGTCAAAAGAAACAAGTTCTTTGGAACATGGCAGCTCATGTCCAAACGGACTGACCGCATACAGGAAGGGGGGTGCCAGGGCAGCCGGAGGACTGAGTGCAAGGTGCAGGTGTGTTTGGACTTGGTCCACAGAACGAAACTACATCGCACAATGGGCTCCACTGCATGTGAGGGTCATTTGTTGAATTTTCTCAGTGTATCCAATTGAGGTAGCAGACTGTAAATGCGGCAGCAGTGAAGTGTATATGTAGCATACAAGGAATAATCGTATGTGTGGCAACAAATGTGCGCAACTCCGATGCTGCATTCAGAGATTTAAAGAGGCGGCAAATCGTACTTAGGGACCCTACATGGACAACCACAAACCCGGAAATGTTACCAAGTTGCATGATCCTCGACTGAAAACCTGTGTTAATTCATTCCTGTGTCTTCTTGTTTGCGTTGAACTTCAACGACTGCCACTATTTCCGTTGTTGCTATTCACGAAGGTGGGGATTCTCAGAAGTGGCAATGAAGTCCAACCCTTCACAAGAACGATCAGCATGGCAGCCACAAACCGTCCAGGCCCAATGTTGCCGCAGCCAAGTTCCATTAATCATTTGGCGCATTTAACACTACTGCTCGCTCCTCATTTGTTAGTCAACATCTGTTGTACCAATATCAGGACAAACTTTGTCTACCTACCAACAAGAGGCCCGTAGTGGACACGTGGGCAACCAACCGTGGGCCATGATGACCACTCTGCTGCTCAGATACATCTTGACCATCAGCCACATTCGTGGCCGACTGCTGCCTATCTTCACCCGCAGTGACATCCAGAATTTCAAGTTTCAAGCTTTGGGCAGCGCTCATTGCCGACTGCAAAACGGATGCCTGTGTTGCTGTCGTCGAAGTTCGAACTGTGGCAATGAAATGATCAACAACGGTGGCCATGTTGCCGATCGCCCGTCCTCGAACGCCTGCACAGGGTGGGAAGTACAAAGAATGCGTGAAGCAAATGGCATTTGCTTGCCTGTGGAGATCAATGGCCAATGGAGAAGAGGGCCAACGACTGCAACGTCCCGCCATTCTACAGAGCAAAGTTTTCAAGTTTCTTCAACACGTCAAGTCGAATACATCGTGGAGAATACTCCCAGTGCATCTGCGGTAGAGCACTGCTTTGTGCGATGCAACCAGGACGTAAGCATGCACTCAGGGGTCGGCATGCATATTTGGTACAAATTAAACACAACACGAGGTATTCAGTGTCAGTTTCCAAAAACATATCTTTGTGCACAAATGGGTCGCTTGAAGAGATCAGGACACAATAAAGACAGAGGCATGCACACAGGGGCCCTGTGCGAGCAAGACTGGACAGAAACGGAATGCAATGTGAGATATCCACTGCCAGTATCCAAGAACATATTTTCACACGAATGGGCTGCTTGAGGACACAATGGATGTCAAGCGTAAGCAACAGGTGCTGCACAGGAGGCACTGTTCGTTGCGGGTACACATGTGTACACTTCAGCACCCAACAAAAAACCATGCACAATGCAACACGAACATTATGTGCTGCATTCTATGGATGGCATGTGCACAGCACCAGCGCAGTTATACCTGCTGACTTGTCATTCATGCGTTGCATGAGTATCGCAAGACAAACACAGCCACAAGACACATTCTGGTCCTCTTGCACATCGAAAATGTCATCGTTGCCCAGCAGCAGGGCTTCACAGAGCCGCACAGCCACGGTGCGGTGCTGAATCTAGCATGCATACAAATGCAGGCTTTGTCAGCAACAAGGGGGGATACAACTGCAGTGTGTGAAGAAAGTAGTGGTTTGATTGGATTCATCGTGACACAGCTAACGATTGCCCTGTCGTCATCATGGCTTGCAGACGTGAACAGCACCTGATTTGGCCTGTTGGCTGCAACGGCACTATTTCTTCAAGTGGTAAAAACAAACAGCTGATTTGCATGTCCTTCTTTGTAAAGGGTATTGCAGTAAAGCTGTCAGCATTGCGATGCTGACAAAGGGCCGAACTGGTGCACCAGCATACAACACTGCGCTACCTTTTGCTGATGTGTAGTTTGGTTCGGGTTATCTTCGGTTTGTTGTTGGGGGATAGCTGGGTACCACAGTAGTTATGAATTCAACAAAATGGCTGCACGGCTATTTGGACACGTACTGTTGAAAATGCATAGGTGCAAAAAGACTGTTGGGTGCTGTTGCTGCCAAAGTTAGAAATGCTAATGCACACTTGCAGCATGGAACGAAGCAATAATTGTCTTTTTGGCGAGGGTGGTGTCCATTGTGCAGCATGCTACCTTCTCTGCCTTCCAACAATCAACGATTTTTTGCAAGCGCCCATCGCTCCCCAACACATGCAAGTTTGTCTTGCCAAGACAGCATGTTATTGGGATTTCCACATAACCACGCTGATTTTTTATCATCCAGAATTTGATCACTGATCGAGTACAAAGGTCGAAGCCACAGTCAGTCCATGGCTGCACTGGTGGCGAGCATACATTGGGGCTGAACAGTTGAGTGCCACAATTGCGAGATTCGCCTTCAGGACGTCGGCAGCCAAACCGCCCTCAAGGTGTGGCTGGGACTTGTGTCCAGGGTCTTGTACACCCACCTTTGCAACCCTTGATAGTTGGTATAGAAAGCACATGAAGTCCCATCTAACGGATGGAGGAAAAGCGGCTACCTGGGCAAGACAAAGTACACAAGCCATTGGCTTGCTGGTGCAAGAAGAGAAGGCTCTGTCACATGAAATGCATGCATTATATTCAATTAATTGCTCCACTAGCAGTACAGTGTTTGACAATATAGATATGCTGACACAACAGCCCCAATTATGCAAAGTTCCAATTTCAGTCCCACATGCAGCCAGCTGGGAGGACTGAACTGCACAACATCGACAGTTCGTTCACCAAATGCATGGTGTCTCTTCTTTCCACTCAAAACCTTGTGCTTCATGTCCTCCACAAGGCAAAGTTCATTTGATGTTCTTCCACACATTCACCACAACTCTTCAATCTTCGCGTCTGAATGGACATAACACTACCCAGGCTTAGCCCAGGGAGCATCATATAAAACACTACGTCTGTTGCTTGGCAGCTGTCACAAATAACCAGTTTGGCACTCGCACCAACTGTGTTGTTGCGGTGTTGCACCCAGATGCTGGGCATCCCTCTTCCATTTCGGCGTTGGATTCGTGTTTCCTTTCCTCTAATCCTAAGTTCCAACAGCGAGGTTATATTCTGAACGAAAAATGCATATCTGCCCTGTGGTGATGTGGGCCTGGCTTGTTGGGTTGGACAACTGCTGTTTGCCTTGCGAGGAGAAGTGAGAGGGACAATAGGTACATATTCATACTTCACATTCTTACGAGCGAGCAAGCAAGTGGAGCTTCGCTAGGTATATTCATAATTAACTAAAGAGAGAATTACAAAAGGGGGTCCTCTGTGACAAAAGGGGTTCCTCTGACCACCCCCTGACAGACTGGTGTCAAATCGGCGCCATACCAGTGCTGGTCTGGCACCAGACCGCACCGTGGTCCTATTAGGGGCGACTCCTGTGGAAGGGCGCCACAGCGAACGGGGTGTGCAAGGGAGTGGCGGAGATCATAGACGCCACCCACAGGTTTGCAAGTTCTGGTGTGATTCTTGTGGTCTGAATGTTTTCTTTATCTGTAAGTTTTCTGAAGACTGAAGTCTACATCACACAAGCTTTGGCAGATGCAGGACACCTCTAGCACTTTGATTTTGCAAGAGCTCTTTTGTGAAATGAAGCCATTGGCAGCATCTAGTTGAAATAATGCCCCTGAGAGCAGAAACAATGCCATACTGAAGTTTTTCACAACTGAGTTTTGGAAAACCACAAACCAAAACATGGCCAGGCTGCCATTTTTGTACTTGTCAGTTCCTGCCAAGTCCGATCTTGCCCAAATCTTGCCCAAAAAATAAGCTGCATGCACTTCATTGCATTACAACAGTCACCAACGACCGGCACTTCGAACCTGGGCATCAACAACAAATCGCGACTATTCTCAAACAATTCTACAACGTCCTGAGTCAGGAGTCCTGACGCAGGTACTGAGTGATCATTGCATCTCGACCACCACTCACAGCAAGAAACTCACCAAAAGACGCAAAGTACTGTCTTGTGATCTCAAAATAATATGCAGCCATTTTGCTCCATGCAATGTAATTCAACCTTAATCTTGAGCATATGCTCAGAAACTCATGGAACACTCACCCCTTTGTGTCATGCAGGTGATCGTGCACGTATTTGGAATGCCCAGAATCAGCTGCACATCAAGAGAAGCTAACGATTTTGAGAGAGTGAGGTCTTAAGGCTACAAGCCATCTCTTAGATTTAGCACCAAAGTCGTTATTTAATGAATCTGAAACGGCAACACAATCAGGTCATTGCTCATATTGATTCATTTATTTTTATGGAGACCAATTGCATTTAAGTGATACACCAAGGGCAGGGGTGGTCATCTAAATGTTTAGATGGCATTGCGAAGACCCCAAAAAACCCCACAACACCCCAGGAAAAGATTGACATAAGGGAGTCCTCTCCAGGGTGCAAATGATGAGAGGGGTTACTCTCTGGAGTCACCCCTAGTAGGACCGGGTTGCAGACTGGCGCCGGTCTGGCGCCGGTCTAGCAACACGTCTAATGCACAGGTGGCGGTTGGAGGACCCCCTTTGTCATTTGCACCCCCACAGAGGACCCTCTTTTGTCCTTTTTCCATAACTAGATCCACCATTCAACAATATATTTAACAATAGACTAATACAGGGCTTGAAATAGTTGTGCTGCTCAAGAGACTGATTTTAATGAATATTTACTGAAGTGCATGACTGTCACAGCGGGACCCCATAAGCTGAACCAACACACGCAGGTTTGGCTGGCCACTTGTGCATCTTGCAAAATGCTGGTCCCTGTGAATTTTAGGTGTGCAGTCCCACAGATGAGGGTGTATGAAATCACACTCACCAACGTCGCTGCTGAATTAACTGCCACATCTCTTTGCTGTGCCTTGTCGGGCGCATGCAAGCTCAGGTGCCTGGCGAGGGCAGCAACAGCTGGAAGACAATCCGGCTTCTGACTGCAGAAGCACCATGTGCAAGCACTGAATGCCTCCATTCAAGCATTTTGACACAATATGAACTAGAAACAAGTTTAGTTTCGTGCTGCTTTCAACAGTAGAAATATCATAATTGTTGTTCAGAAGGCGCATGCCTGCTGCATGAAGCACATTCTTCTTTTCATGCGGCAGCCTTCACCCAGAGTGCATAATGGGTACAGCGGTCCACGACAATTACGTTGTATTACAGCAATAGCACTGCCAACGCTGCCCAGCACTGCTTGACCAAGAACTGACATCTGCAGTACACCAAGCATTGTGAGATCCTTGTGGACCATCGGGTATCACACGATGCCTTACGATCTGTACTCAGCAGGACACACACCAAAACCAATGCGTCGCATTTCATACTGCTGCATTGGATGCATTCTTTGACATTGCTTGCACATGCAGCCCATCTCCCCAGCCTGCTGGCAGTTCCCTTAGGCCCCTACCTGTGCACATCCAACACAAACTGCATGATGCGGGGCCTCACACTGGCAGAAGCGTCCCTGTTGCCGTCAGCCACTCCAGATCCTGCCTGGACGCCCATTAGGCAGGAAGCCAGTCTCTTGAAGACCCTTCCTGCCAACTGGTACACAGGGCCATTGAGCGCATTAATGCACCCATGCAGAAGCGTCAGGGCAGACTCGCCAATGGTCCCTGCAGGCAGGAAGAGGCCCAATTAACATAATTCTCAATCTAACTATCTGCATACAGTACATGAAACAGACAGCAAGTGTCAGAAAGTTAAACTGTGAACTTGTTGACCCCGCATTCGGGTTGGAGAAACATCAAATAAAACTTAATGGCCATGAATCCTGGGAGTCAGGGCAGACTTCTGATGCCAAGATGATTTTCTGTTGCGACCAATGCGCAGATGGGAAGATCATTAGCGATGCGCGAATTCGCAAACTCAAACAGAATTTGCAGCATGTTTGCTACCAGCATTGGGCAGTTGAATTCCGCTGTCTGTGTTCTCTTAAATTTATGGGGATATGAGTTGTCTCTTTTTATTTTGGCGACTCAGCAACAGTGCTCGGGCCACTTGGTGGTGTACAAGAGCTTGCAGATGCACAGTACCAGACATCACCCAATTGGCTATGCGACAATCATTTGTCAATTTTTGGTACATATATACAGTAAGGAGTTTCAAAACACTAGCGCGGAACCATGGTATGCTGCCCAAACCTTCCTGATCCGATTGTGCAATTTTATCTCCCATTATCAAAATGCCACAAAGCTCAGCACTGGCAGCAACCAGGCAAAGATGAGGTGTCCATCAAGGTCAGCAAAGCAGTTGGCCATGATAGCAAAAAACACCTGCTCATTGGAGATAGACCTTCTTTGGCATCACCATTTTCCAATTTGAGACAACAATTGTGCACCACGCAGTATGTAGTATTCTGGGGATTCCATGCACCACAAACTACACACCAAAACCCATGCACCAGAATCAGCGATGCTGTGGGCAAAGCACTGACACCGTAAGATGTTGTCCTTCAAGTCCACACAATTACACCACAGTCCTGGACCCTAAAGTGATATCTAAAGTTGATACTGCATGGCCTGCTCCGAAATTTGTTTCCATTCGACAAAAGCTCTGGGCAAGTAAGCCAGCTTTGTTGTTATGGAAGTGCAGATTGCACACGTGCGTCACTGCATGCTCTGCAACCTGTGCACAGGTCGCTCACCCAACGAATCATCCTGTGCCCTCCTTCCACAACTAGGGCGACCCGCTGGAGACAGGACGAGCATGGCCATAGCGTCGATGAGCACCTCCAGCAATTCCTCATGTTCTTTGAGGCTGACCGTCTCCACAAGAGTGGTCAGACAGGATATGATCGAACAGCAGATTCGATCAAAGTCCTGAGGATCGAAGTCCGCGGCTAAGGCAGGAGAGAGCGAAGGCGAGGGTGAGGGGGAAGAGGGATCGCCCCTTGACGGCGTGGATGGCTCATTTCTGAGGAGTTTCAGCAGCGCCAGCAAGGTGGAGATGTCCAACAACTCGAAAACCTGACAAACAACGGATACACATATTTGGTGCTGAGATTGATCCTCCAATGGGCACAATCTACTCTTATAGGCCCTTACAGCATTGCAATCGGCTTCCACGCACTGCGGCGTTGAAAACTGGTAAAGGGGATAATTTTGATCCGAACAGTGAGATGTTCTTGTACAACCCGGACTCGAGTTTTTAACCTGGCTGCTCAGCTTTGCGCCCAGGGGGGCTTTGCCCCCTTTGGCACTGCAAGGATAAGTGCAGTTGTAAACATGGTCGGTTCACTGAGCTGCTGATTTAGTGAAGGGGCGCCCTTGAATGGGGAGGGGTGCGTGGCTCACCGGGCTGCCCGGAAGCACCAGAAGGGAGACGTACACTGCTCCCGCTGCCAGGCCCTGTGGGCGCTTGGCTCCCAGCACCAAGGCGCACAGAGACCTGGCCAAGCACCAGAAAACACCGCGGCCTCAGCGCTGCCACCGCGGAATCCCCAACCAACGAATCAGACAACGACGGCCAGAACACTCACAACAGATCACCCTTTTTGTGCATTCGGGTCCAAGCCACAACAACTGAATGCTGCACATCCTGACAATGCCAACCGACCAGGGCCACTGGAACGGCATACAGGCCTGTTGGTCGACCGACTGGGATATGGAGAGCGCCGACGCGAGCACCGGCGCCGATCGACCGACTTAACCAACGCCCCGGCAGATTTGAATCAGCACCACAAACAGCCTTTGCACTTTGGCGTCCAGCAACCCCGCCCTTTTCCCACCTCGACGCAAGGCTCAGCGAGGTGCCAGATTCTGAGCAGTCCTTCGACAGGCGGGCGCCGGCCGCTGCGTCCCCCGCCATCGCCGCCACCGCCAGCGCGGCCTCGGCGTCGATCGGCACGGACGCCAGGATCCCCCGGGCGGAGTCGCCGCTGCCGCCATCCTGCGGCGCGTCGGGCAGGCCGTGCGATGCGCAGGCGTCCGCTAATCGTGTGAGCAGGGCCGCAGGGTTGGGGCTGTCCATGGCCGCGGCGTGCCGGGGCGGGTGGCCCGCCAAGACGCAGAGCGCCTCTGCGGCCCCAGGCACCCCGCCAAAATTTCAAGCGTCCAATCTGTCCTGGCGGAGTAACGGGGAATGTGCTGTTGATGAAGTGCAGTACAGGACTTAAATACTGCACAGAACGCTTGTGAACGCCCAGCTTCCAATGAACCAATCACCGACTCTGCTTTGCTCAGGCAAAATAGGAAGCTGACGGCTACCTCATTGCCTTGTTCTGGTAAAAATCATGATGATGAAAGCCCAGCTACTTCATTGCCTTGTTCTGTAAAAAATCATGATGAACGCCCAGCAAATGATCAGAACTGGAGGTGCTCAGGATTGCGCCTGAGAAGGCACTGCAAGCGCCGCTTAACTACTGACGTACCGTTGGTTTTTAAGCCCTTCCGTTTTTTTGCTTTGCGTTAGAGCGTCACTTTAATTTTTTACGTTGCTCCATAAGAATTTTATTAATTGAGCGTTATTTATTTTATTGTTTTCTCCACAAAAAATGGCCAAGCGTTACGTTACTGTGTGGAAGGATTTAAAAACCAACGGCAGCTGGCCATTTTCACTGAACGCGCGATGACGAATTTCATCATGATTACAGGCCAAGACCACACCTCCTCCAAGCACTTGAAGCACGTAATATGCGCCTTGGTGCTCAGGACTTGACGCTGTCCCCGGAGAAGATACCGCAGATACTGCCAAAGTGCTGAAGCAGCCGTCCATTTTCACTGAACATGCGCTGACCAGTGCGGCAAAGTACTTTAGGCCATTGTGGCGTGCATTTCCCCGCACAGCCCCGGGCGCCTGACAGTCCTCCCCGGCCCCTTGCCTTCGGCCCTCCCCTCCCGCTTCACCCCGCGGCCATGCGGGGCCCGGAGCGCGCCCTCTTGAGCCTCCTGGCGCGCTCAACCCGCCATCGCTTGGCGGGCGTCCTCGGGACGGCGGGCGGCGCGCATGCTGGGCGGGTGTTTCTGTCTGCGTTGGCCGCGGCGGCGTCGATGTCGGGAGAGGCGGGGGCCGCCGGCGCGGGCCGGCCTCTGCGCGAATGCGGCCGTGGGATCGGCGGCGATTGGCGAAAAGGTGCAGCTCGGATCGGACGGGATTCGAGATGTTGGGGAGGAGTCGGTCGGCCGGGGGATGGCCGTGAGCAATTCGGGGCTGTTGGAGAGGACGTGTTGGCGATGGATTGTTTTTATTGGTGTGGTGGAAGAAGGCAACAGCTGCAAGTATTTGTGGTGGTTGGGAGTGGGGTCTGAGGGGCGGGAAGTGGTGAAAAAAGCTGCGTTTTGGGGAATGGAGCAAGGCGGGGATTGGAGGCCGCTGCCGGCGGGGCAATGGCCCGTCCCCGCAGTGGCGGTGGTTTCGGGATGCGCTCTCGGGTGTTGGGCGCGTTGGGCGTGATGTGCGCATCGCACCGCAGGCAGGGATTGCTGCTGTGGCTGCGGCAGAGTCGGTGTGTTCTTGTTCGCCGAATGGTCCCCGCAGAGAAGTTCAGCGGCATCGCATTCACGCTGTGTTGTTGTTGTTGTAAATGTGGTCTCTTTGGTAGTCTGGGTCTGGAGTTTGGGGGGACATTGAATGGTAAGACACTGTGATAGCTGCAAGGACACTACAACCCAAAATAAATGCCGAGGTGAATACCTTGACACTCATCTGACTGCCTGGAGGCTCAACGCTGCACAGGCATATGCCTCTGTCCTGGCCTGGTAAATCTCCCAGGTATCCATGCCCTGAACACTCACTCTCCACCATGGGTTCAGCTTTGGCGACCTGAAGATTGTGGGTGCGGATTGCAGGCTGGGCATCTTCAAGTATCATTGGGGCCAAAGGTTTCCACTCGACATCAAGTGAGTTTAGATTACTTTGGGGCATTGCTTGTTTCGGCAATTGATGCATGTGGGCATGTGAACTGTTTTTTTTGAGTTGTCTTTGATTGTGGTGGCATCAGATTGCATGGCTGTTGGGAATGATCTCTGCTTGTCAGTTTGTGCCAAAGTTGTGGTGAAAATTGGAGCTGTGCAAAATGCAGCACTTCGATTCACATTTGCCCAGAAGTGGCCAACAACCCCTTCAACATGCCCTGCAGCCTGGTATAGATGTTTTCTGGTGGTATTATGGGCTTACTGCTGTTTGCGCATGATTACTGCCACAGTAACATGGCAGCAGAGTTGTGAATTGTGATTGTCAGACCCCAATGATGGTATCCATGGCATTTGTTGATCCTCCATTTTCGTTTTGCAGATGTGGATGCGCACACTGATTACTATGCCCTTCTGGGGGTGCCTCGAAATGCAAGTGAAAAGGAAATAAAGGCTGCTTACTACAAACTCGCCATGAAGCTGCATCCAGATAGGAACAAGGCAAGACAAGCACTCAGGCGCACATGCAATCACTGTCAATGGCCAGTGCCATGATACTGGCCACATTCTCAGTTACTGCTGGCACCACTTTGCTCGCAATTAGCTTCAAGATCACTTGCTGTAGGCGTGATCCTGTATTGGTCATGAAGTGGTTGACATTCGGTGGTGAAAAACACCTGAAGTGCGTCCAGTTCGTGGATACCCAGCCCAGACTACTGTGCCAGCTGATATACTGTCTGTGCCAGGCACTGGACCTTGCCTTTGTTGTGACCCTTGTTGACCATCAATGGCTGCCTCCACATTAACGTTAGGATGCAGTGCACTGTCATTCGTTGGCCATAAAATTGGTCAACGAGGGGATGGCGGGTTTAGACATTCGTTTTAGTTTGAGGGCTCTATTCTGATGAGGGTTGTTGTGGAGTGCTGTTGTTTTTGTGTGGGCCACTTTTGCGATGGATGAGAAAACGCGGTAAGGAAACTTGCAATGATGTGGTTTGCTCCAGCCACCTGTATTATCTTTGGTCATCAGATCTTCAGCCTCGATGTGACTCGCAAGGCCACGGCCACATGTTGGACATGTTGCAGTTTCTTGATTTCACCCGAAGAGTGGGCACCCTTACGAACCTGGAACCACTTAGAGGGAAGGGCCCTTTGAATGCAGTACCATTGCAGAACCTATATTCAATGGTTGCTTTGCAGCAGTGTTGATCCCCTGCTGCCGTGCTTCTTGTCGCCCTCGCAATGTTGAAAGGAGCCAGTTTGCATACTAGAGTGTTTGGGCCTATGCTGAACAATCCAAACTGTGAGATCTGTTTGGGTTTCCTTGACCTTGAAGCAGAAGGTGACAAAGCACAAGGTGCAGAAGTAGGGACCAGTAAGTGTGGTACCGCACCACAGAGCAGATGCGGAGGACGCACCTTGGGATCACCCATGCCCAAAACCCAGACTAGATCGAGATATGTTGTTCATACATTCTGCCCATCAGCTTGCAGAAGCCCGGAGCACCAATTGTGCAGCTGGAAGTATGGTCAAGTTACAAGGAACCTTGCCACACAAAGGGCTGGCCTCTCTGAAGCAAAGCATCTTGGATGTTTGGTATGCTATCTTGGCTTCAGAGAATGATGTAGAGCGCTGTGACTGCAGCTGCACAGCACTGAACTGATGAACTGCCTGTTGCTGCTGTTCCTTTTCAGGATGACCCCGATGCCCAGGCCAAATTCCAGGAACTCCACAAAGCATACACAACTTTAAGTGACAGAGAAAAGAGGCAAATATATGATCAAGTTGGGCAAGACCAATATGAGAGGATGGAAAGTGCGGGGGGTGCTGGGGCTTGGGACCAGGTGTGCATTGTGTACTGTTTGCTTTGTCTTCATCACACAATGCCAAGAATTTGCAAAAATCACCCCTGGACAACGTCAGCTCACAATGCAATGCATCGTCAAACCAGGCATGAATCAGATTTAGTTCAGTTGGAAAGTAGCGTCAGCCATGTCCACTTGCAGCTATGCAACCATAGTAGATTGCCGTCTCTTGCTTGTGTCATTTGCTGTATCCTGTGTGTTGTAACATTTTGGTTGATCAGTGCTTTTCTTCACTAACAATCCTGATTTTTGTTATATGCAGTGTCATCTTGAATGTGCGCTTGAAACATGGTTCAACCTCTCCCTACTTTGGCTGTGTGTTGAACCACATCACTTCATTATTTTTGACCGGCACAGTTGCATTCCCAATGGGCGACTATGTGTTCATTGCCCACATCCGATGTCCTGCCAGTATTGAGTGCATGAGGCAAAGTCCTGTGCAGTACAGGTTTTGGCAGCACGATGCACCAGCAGCATGTAAATTGTCAATAGGCATTCGTGATGGCCACCAAACCTCTGTCTCTTGCGCTTAGCCTTTTGGGATGCGGCATGGATTGAATAAGTAGTGTGGCGAAGACCAGCGTACCCATTGGCCACAAAAACATGCACCATTCCTATGTCAACAATTTGCACCAGAGATTGCAAACCGCTACACTTGCATTGTTCAGGCAATGTTGGGCATCGCTCGCAGGAACAAATGAGTGTAAAACACTGAAAGTGGAAAACAAGCGTGAGCAACAAGAGGTGCTGCTTCCCACCGCCTAGCTTGAAAGACTGCCAGTGTACTCTATGGTTGTGGTTGGCAGCAGTCGGTCAAAGCTTGGATTAGTGAATAACACACGATTCACACAGCCATGTGTCCATCGTTGGAAGTGATGGAGCTGACTGTGCAGCAGGGCGGCAACATACCCAACGCGGAAGACATTTTCAGGCACTTTCAGGATATATTTGGAGGGTTTGGCGATGCTTTCTTTACCCAAAGAGGCTTTGGTGGTTTCAGGGGCATGACCATAACGAACATCACACTGAGTTTCATGGTGGGTTATCTCTGTGTCTCTGATGTTTGGCGCAGTTGCAGTCAGTTGTGGATTGCCTTGCAGTCATGGTTTGTTTGCTACAGTGCTGAACCAGCTTGCATGCATTGGTAATCTGTTGGCAGGCACTGCTCTTGCACAAACAATGCGATGTGGGGGACACGACTGAACTCACAGCATTTGATCTAGAGTGTGTGCTCAGTGCACCTCAGCCAGAAAAATCTGTAGCAGTTGAGCCACTGTGATACCAAATTGGATCAGTTGCTGTTACGTTTGCTGTTCAAGCATTAATTGGCTGGCACCCTGCCTGACTGACAGCTGTCAGTGGGTCCTAGTAATAGGGGTTCATGAGTGTGTCTAGTCCCTGCACCATCTCTGACGTCAGGGAGTGAGTCCAGTTGCCATTCTTTCTGGTGGGTTTTTTGAATGGAGTGGCAATACAACATGATGAGCCCCACTGGATTGGGTCTTACCTCCACTTGAAGTGGGGAAAGGAGAGCCTCGAAATTGGCTTGCTAGAGCAATCTTACGCACACACTGCTCTTTACCAACAGAAGCTACGTTCTCTGGTTTGTCCTTCAAGTGCAAAGTGGTGACAACACACGTTGACACATCTAAGTCTGCAGAAGCAATGAGCATTTTGCATGGTGCATCAAGTGGTCCAACTTTTGTCAGGTAGCAGTGAGAGGTCTGTGTGAGCGCTTGCGAAAGTGAATGTAACAAATCTTGAATTGCTTTGCCTGTTTATTCCTTTTTGTCCTTGAACAGGAAGCTGTGCATGGTGTGAGGAAACAAGTCAGGCTGCCTAATGGAAAGAAGATCGAAGTGAACATACCTGCTGGTGGGTCCCTTGAACTGGTGCTTAGAGCTGCCAGCGCGGTTTCTTTCTTATCCCCTTTGCTTCCCTTGCTTTCTATCACTATTATCCAATGCATTTGTTTACTGAATAATCATCCTTCTGTTTTATAACAAAAGCACTAGTGCCAGGGGCCCGGCAGATATCATAGGGCAACGATTGTCTTTTGTACTTGGGACTGACTGCTCGTGTTGTGTGCAGATGCATAATGTGCAGGTGCCCACTATTCTCTTCTTACTGACTGAACTGCCAAATTGTCTTTTTCAGGCATTGACCACGGCCAGGCAATCCAAGTTGAAGATCAAGCCATCTTGGCCATAGAGGTCAAACCACACCGTTATTTCCGACGAGATGGCTTGGACATCATCTGTGAGACCTCGGTGGACATTGTGGAAGCCATCTTGGGTGGCAGAGTGGTTGTTCCCTCACTGAGTGGTATGTACTCTGTCAGAAAGGCACTCCATATTTGAAGACAGACAGTGGTGTTGTCTTCCTGCTAAAATAGTACCATTCATTAAGACATCATAAATACCATGAAAACGGTACCATTCATAGTAGCAGATGCAACTTAAACCCCAAGACCATACCTCAGTCAGTTGTGTCAGGGTTGGTGAAGCTTCCACCTTGCAGATTGCGTCGTGTAGCAGTTCTGCTCAAGAAAAGGGCAATGACACTGGTTTGGAATCCCTGGATAATTTTGTCAATAGTGATGTTGCAACTTAATTATGCTATTTGAACAACTGATATGGCAATGTTAACGAGTAGTTGCTGGCGTTTGTAATTGATAGCTTAAGAGTGCCCTGGCAACTGTGAGTTTATGCTGTGCACACTTCACTTGCGCATTCCTGGGTTTACCCCAAATGTTTTTGAAGTTTCCATGGAATCTTCCAGAACCTTACCTGAGCACTGCACCAGGTCGATGTGCTCAGTGGCAAATGGACGAATGGCATGGGTGTGGGAGACCGATTGTACATTCACTGGCTGCGCTGGCCTCTGAACGCAGTACCAGGCACTGTGTGCAATATTGCTGTAGTTGCTCTATTAGTTGCAGCCACACATTGCAACCTGTGGTGTTTGCTGGTGTAGGCTTGCACCAGTTCCAAACAGGTTCTGACGGATGGATGGAAAGATACACCGAACTGGGCAAATGCGCCAGCAAGCGATTGGTTGCTTTGTTGTGTTGCAACAACGTCGTTTTGTCATGAAAATTTTCGCAACACTGACAGCAGCGCACTTGACTGGCCCTTTATGTGAGTGCAGGGGACACAGAGGTGTACCTCCAGGCGGGTACGCAACATGGGGACAGGCTGCGGCTGTCCGGAAAGGGTGTGCGTCCTGAGAGGGGAAGGAGTGGGGATCAGTACATCGTGATCAGGTAACCGGCAGTCGATTCCGATCGTCTTGGTGAGGTAGCTGATCCAGTTCAGCTTGACATGGTGGACCTCAGGGCCCCTACCCCTGGGTTTGTGGATCTTGTGCATTTTGGTCTGTTTGCTTTGATTTTCGTTGAGCAAGAGTACTGTGGTGTCAATCAATTAGAGTGTGCCACTGGCGCATGAAGTGGGACAAGAGGTGCAGAAGATGCCTGTGTTTGAAGCATCATCTGTGCAATTCGTGTACCGCCACAGTATATGTGTACCACTTGTAGTTTGCAAGGTGTGGTGGAGCACGTGTGGTGGATGTGGTCTTGAGGGGTATGTTCCTTTCAACAATGGTTACCATGCGGACTAGTTTTGTGCAACACTTTCGCTATGCCTGTCCGTGCGGAGTGGGTGAAGGGAAATTTGAATGGGAACCTAGGGTTTTTGCTCAAACTGGCAACTCTCGATTAGTTTGGCTCTGGCACTAAGGGCACACTAACTACTTAGTTCTTGTGACGTTCTACAAAGAATTCACAGCGCCTATTGGACGCAATGAAAGGGCTGCGATTTGTTTTGCTATGATAATGTACTCAATTTGGATGATGATTCATGTGCTGATGGTGTCAGTGCACATGTTGGTTTGGGGTGTAGTAGATTGGGTGAATGTACACTTGCAGCCATTATGAAAGTGTGATACATTGATCTTGTCACATGTCTTCACTGAACTCAGATCGTCAGATGGATCGTAATTCCTAGCAGCCTACAGTAAGCTCACAGTGCTTCCGAAGCTGCAAGATGTTGAAAATGGACCATTGCCAGCCTTACATTTCGCAGCCACACTGATCAAGGTGTTGTTGATTTGTTGCAGCCATGCGTCTCAGTACTCGAGTATTTTGTACCTGTGGGCTTTGTAATCAGTAACCTCGTTGCCCCCAAGCATTGCATCACGCTTGAACTGTCGCTTGCTGACCCTGTTGGTGTGGAACGGTACAGAGTGGTGATTCCACGAAAAGTGACGGCCCGACAACGTCAACTGCTTTTGGAGTTCGCAGAAGAGGAGCAGTCCAAGAAAGCTGCATAGATGCCTGGCAAGACATAGGGGCTGGTTGAGGGGATTGTTGTGTATGGTTGGGTGGTGCAGTGCCAGCTGTGTGAAAAAATGGCATTGTTTGGGCTTTTTTATGCGCATTGTTCTATCTTTATGGTGCGTCTTGGTAGCTGAAGGGCTGGGTACCTTGTCCGCGAGTGGACTTGTAGGGAACTGGACAAAGCATGACTTCTATTTCGTTGGGCATGTTTAACGAATTTCTTGAGCTATTCTTGTGTGGCTTCCTGCATAGAACTCTGCGCGATTGTTCTGCTGGCGTCTCACCACTCTGGGTGGCAGTTTCTTATGGAATACTCTTCATGTTGGGCCAGATCCCTGGCCAACGGCATTGTCGCATCGCTGATTCGGCAGTGGCGACGTGGCATTCCCTTGACCCCAATCTACAAGATGGATTCTGGACGTGTTGCGAGAACACAGCACCATGGTAGTGGTTGAAGGCTGTAAAGTTCTGTGGAAGAAGTACTTCATGCGAAACCACAGGTGTGTGGCGGTAGGCAGCACTCACAGCCCCAGGACCAAGCAATGTCCGTGCACGCGCATCAACGAACATGCCACGCAATGGCAAACTCAAGGAGTCGCCCAAATGTGCGCACATTCAGGATGAGCCCATCCCACACAAGCACAGTTTGCACACAAGAAGCTGTCTGATTGCTCGGTATTGGTGGTTCCTTCACCACGTTGGTTTATAGCATCTGAGAACAGCTGCTTGTTGATTGGGAATAACAGCGTTGTAACAGACCAATACACGCTGAACGGTTTTTGAACCTCAGAGTGAAACTTCACTATGCATGTAGCTCGAGACGCCAGCTAAATAGCATTCCTTCTTTGTGCCGCGCAGCCTCCAGTGGCAATGGTCCAATGATCCCGTTGAGCGACGATTTCTTTCTCTAGGCCACCCAATATCGGCTGTCGGGGTGCCAAGGCATTGCTTTTGTCCTATTTTTCCAAGGCAGGATAATTAGAATCTCAACGTTTCTCTGGGAAGGACATGGGAAGCTGGTTGCTGCTTCTTTTCGAGAGGTGCTGGACGTCCTCTCTCGTTGATGACGCACATAATTCCATGAAAGGATCAAAAGGATCATCCGTGTAGAAGGGCGGGAAAATCGCCAGAATTGCAAATGAAAGAATGAAGGGCGGACCAACTGCATGGAGACACACGAACGCCCACGACCACTCTCGCCGTTCCTCGCAGTCTCCGCGCGAGAGGACGGCGGCGCCATGGTGAAGGCGTGGGACCCCAAGTTTCCGGATGGCCCGCCGGCCAACTTCGACCCGGAGAACCCCTTCAAGGACCGCTGGGCGCTCGTGGAGATGCGCGAGCACATGACCCGCAGAAAGGCGGTGGAAATGGAGAAGGCCAAGGTGTGCGCCGTTTGAAAGGCATTAGGCGGCGACCTGCGCGTTCCAGAATTCGCGATACGTTCAAGGGACGGTCGCGCGTGTCGCTGGGCGGGCGGCGCTGCGTCGGCGCCGGGAGATTTGATCACTCCGCCGCTGCTGGACTTGAAGGCGTGTCCGTTTGCAGTGTCAGTCCCACAAGTGCCACAGTTGCTAAAAAGTGTCAAGACACGGCCCGGGCGATCGCCGCGCAATGCCGGGCATCAGCACACCTGCGGATTGTCCAAACTGCGATATGTACAAAAGCAAAATCCATGTCCATGGTGGTCCTCGGTCCAGGCAACGGGGACATGTCGGCCTGGGCAGCCGGGTAGAACCTCTCAGCCTGGGCGCCAAGGTTGAAGGGCTTTAACGCCGGCTGGGCATCGGTGGGCGTTGAGTGTTGGCGTGTGGGCTATTTCTGTGGGGGGCATTGTGCAGATGGGAAGAGGGCGTAACCATTATTCAACGGCGGTGCATCCTGCATCCCGGAGGCCCAGCGTCCCAGAATCTGAATCATGCGCGTCCAGCGCTTGCTCCCAACGGACCACGGGCTGGTTTGCAACCTGGGTCTTGGTTTCGGGGTAGTTTTCCCTGTATGGATTGAAAGTAAGGGAAGGAGGGTTTGGCCCTGGCCTGGGCATCTGGCACTCCACCTGTCCTGCAACGATCCCATCGCTGACGCCTTGTGCACCTGCCCATTGCAGTGTCGTGCACAATGAGCTCAGACACAGTTGCTTGAGGTGCCTTGTCAGCAGAAAATCCACAGAGTGATCAGATAGTGGGGTCGAAACAACTGAATCTCAGTACCAAGCTAGTGAGATTATCTCAGCAGCACAAGACCAATCCTGATGAACTGCCTTGCTTGAAGAGTTTTGTCTCATGTGGCTCCTACATCCCCAAGGTCAAGAGATTCTTGTGTTGGCTGCCTGTTGCTACCCACGTTGGCCCACTCCACAGCCCATGCCTTGTTGCTGTGAATCCTCAGTTGTAGCTCCCTTCCAGAAAGTGCCTCACCCTTGTGCTCTCCTAAGTGGAGGGTGCGGTGCTCATGTCAACTGTGGGGGCCAAGTCCTTTTCATGATGGTTGCATGTGATGTTGATGATCTGTGGCATCAGTTCACAGAGACAAGACATACCCAAAGAACTAGATGATACGGCAACATGAGCATCCGCAGTGTGTTGCCCGAACTTGGTCATGCATGGCCTAAACCACACCCGGTGCTTCAAACCTGGAGTGCACAGGTTGAGTGTGGCAAGCATGCCTGTGCTCTCAGGTGTTGAAAGAGAGGCTGCGAGAGTGCTACATAAGGGAAGGTGTCAACCACCTGCAGAACTGCAGAGAGGTAATTATCTTGCTGCAGGTGCTGTACAGACCCTGAAAAGCAGGGTTTGGTGTGTCTTATGGGATCACTGTATTTTCTGGCTGAGTACTGCTTATTGCCACAGGCAAGCTGTGGTCTCCCAGACTCAAAACGGAATGACATACTGACATAGAATGATGAACATTATTGCTTTGTTTCCTTGTGTTGTTAGATGTTGGGAGCACTCTTGGCATACGGATATCTCCAAAAGATAGAGAACCAAGTGGCACAAGTGTCATAGCTCCCACCCCACCCACTGCATCACTTTTCTTGTTGGGATGAATAGCACTGGATTGTGCATAATCTTTTATTTGCTGCGTTTTCCAACTGTGCAATTTACAATGCACTGGAGTCAAAAGATGGAATAGCTTCAACTTTCATTGGAGATCTACTCCCGCTTTGCACTTTATATCAACATGTTGGGAGTCAGGCCATCTGCTGCCATGACTCATGCTGTTCAGAATGTGCATGGGACCAGTTTCAATCTGACAGCCGTGAGCCTGTGAGAAATCGCCCAAACACCTGTACGGTGGTGAATAGGCGTTTCACCCATTGTTTTGCTTCTCTCTGACAGGTGCTAGCTTCCCTTGGTCGAACATGGTGGAGTGCTCTTGCCTGGTGCTGATTCAACATCAGACAGGGACATTCCTTGGTATCTGTGGAGCACTGCTGAACAGATGCAAAATGATTGTGCATTTGCCCCCAGTGAGATTTCTGACTCAGCTGTTCTGTTTGTGCCTGCAGCTGGCCCTAACATACCTGGAGTCCATCAAGGCAAGCAGTTGGTTTCATGGATGTGCACACTGGTTTAAAGAGAGGAGATCAGGGTTGAGTTATACGCACCACCCTGTTCCCTGTTCTTCCTTTTACCCCTTCTTCTTCCCATGAGCCAGTGCTCTTTTCCCAAGCATATTATATCCACAGATTGTTACACTTGCTTATGCATTGTCTGTACATTCTTCCTTTATTCTGTTATTGTCAGGAACTCCTGCACACCCCAATTGGAAATGCAAAAACCTGTAGGGGCTGGTTCTGAAAAGATACATCAGGAAGCCCTTGTTTTTGACCACATTGTTGACTTGTTCCCCATCCATGTTGTCCACCCTCCATGTGTTCAGTTGCTCCCATCCTGTTTTTCCCTGCTTGCCTGTATGCTGACAGAGCTCTTGGCCACACCTGCAGGGTATCGGGTACAATCTTGCAAACAGCGGTGCATATGACAAGCAAAAGTGGTGAACTATAGGCCTGAAGCCAAGGCTGGGAGTTCAGGACCCAGGGTCACCATCTGCTCTGTGCATCTCTATAAGGCCTTTGTACAGCACCCTTGAGGAATGATGTGATTCATGCGGGAAAATGTTTAAGTTTCGTCCACGCTACAAGGCAATCAATCGGACAGATGCCCTGTGCTGTCCAAGGTGCCATCCCTCTGCGGTGGCTGAATATGAACGCACTGGCATGTTGCTTGCAAGGCATGAGGAAAAGGCAGACCACCAATAGCTTGCAAGATGTAAGTATTGACTGCCTGCTGGCCTTCTCTCAAGGTGAAACATACATTAATGAAAATGGGATGTGGGCCTTTGATATGTGTCAACATCGCTATCAGCGACAATCGGAGAATCAGGTTGGCCACTTCTGCTAATAATGTCAACAACATCAAGTCAGGCATCAAGATGTGCAGATCACGCTCGATGCAGTGCACAGGAGCGCAATTTGAGAATCAAATGATGCCAGAGTATGCAATTACACGGCATTTCGGCAATCTTGACAAAATCCAGGAGATTTTGTCGGTTGGCTCGGGATGGCAAGTCTCTGTTGTGCATATGACGCCTTTCGGAAAACGGCAGAATGCCAAACAAAACGTCTGTTGCGCCTTGGAAGCGAAAGGAAAGCGCAGAAAGGCTGCCAGCGCAAGCGGTCCAACAAGAAGTGGGAGATTGCCAAGAAGCGGCAACAAGGCAAATCGGCCTGCTGATTGGGAAAAAAAAGAGCACACTTGCTTTCTCTCGTACGGTCTGTTCCTGTCTAAGCGTGCAACATCTCTTTTGGCGTGCTGTGCTCGTTGCTGTGCCTGTGCCATGTTTTGTGTGGGTTTCTGCGTAAACGGGGCGCGATGCTTACCAGGAAACAATGCGTGCATGATGGCTATGGTCTGATGGCCAGGCAAACATTGTGTCCCTGGGCACAGGTAACGACGTGATTACACAACGGTCCGCGCGTTTGCCCTCAGACGAACGGTCGCTAACGCAGCGCTGACGTTCGCGCAGTGATGTATTTACATCAACCACATTGTATCAAATGTCACGAGCTCCCCCCCGCCCCGTTGCATCGTCCATCCAGCCGTTCAACGGCACAACTCCCGAAATCGCCCAATGCACGTAAGGAGCTGCGTCACTGAATGCGTAATGGGCTGTCATGGTGTGATAAATGCAAGTAACAGTTGCGACATCATCGTCGCACCAGGATTCCGTTGCCTCCACGGTCCTGTCGCCAGCGTTGTTGCCGACATGCGTGCCAATGCCGCAACCCGCACAAGTTCCCGCAGCCGTCCCCGCCCCTTCTTTCCGTTCCTGCCGCACTCCCCATGGGCTCGCTCGGCCTGGTCAGGAACCGGCGCCTCTTGCAGGCGGTCCACCGCGCTTCTCCAGCCGCCAGACACGCGGTTCCAAAACCCCCCAAATCGGTCCTTGAGGCCTCGCGCTCGCGGAGAGGCCGTCGCTCCACCCTGCCCCAATCCCAAAGACTGAAGGATCGGAGCGTCACCAAGCGCTGGTGCCCCGTCTGCATCAGCAAGCAAAAGCGTCTCGCATACGCTTGGTTAGGTGGGGTGCCCTTTGTGCGGCTTGCTCATCGTTCTCCCTTGTAACAAAGTCTTGCCCCCCTCTGTGCGCTCCCTGCGACAGCCAGCCGGCCCAGGAGTTGTTTGGCTCGGCCCCGGCGTCCGCTCCCCACGAAGCCACTTGCCTGATCGGCAATCAACACATCGGTCTCTGAGGCGCGATGGGCCTAAGTGGGATGCGTCCAGGGGTTTCGGGAGCGGTGGCTGGGCGACTAACGCCGCTCGAAATGTGCTGGCTACTGCCCGGCGGGGACTTCTTGGGCGGGATCCCCGGTCGCGGTAAGTGCTACGGATCCAGAGCTGGGGACGACAGGCGGAGCGGGGGGCCGGTGAAGAACGAAGAGGCGAGGGCAGCGAAGGGCGGCTCTGAGGGCGTCGAGCGAGCTAGTTGGGGGCCGTTGATCGCGGGGTTGTGGCGGGCGGCCCTGTTGGCGTCAATGTGGCAAGTTTGGATATACACTGGGGTCGGCTTGTCTGGGGCTTGCCTTTTCGTATGTGTATATCTCTCGCTGCTTTGGGAGCGCTCGGGCGCGGCTGAAAAGCCGACCACCGGGAAAAAGACCGCAATGGTTGAGAAGCCGATAGCAATCGATGCCCGACATGCATGGGAACACGTAGTAGGCCCATATGGGTGCGCCGTGGCGAGTGATAGGCCGGGACGCCAGGTCAAGGGCAGCCTTTGCCTGTTGAAGGACTGCCGGCTGCCTGTGCAGCACTCTTGATTCAGGGGCGGGTCACAACAATGATGCGTCGTGACTAGCCACACCACAGCTGGTTCTCGAGACACGAACCTTTAGCTTGCGTGTTGTAATTATGCAACTGTAGACGATGCCGATGCCCTGGACGGACCAGAACTTCCATTGATGCAACCACGAGTTGTGGGGGGACAAGTCTGTTGCAACCTGTCAACATGGCGTTGCGTAGTGGCGACCCAATTTGGCACAGATGCACAAATCTCCGCCAACACGAGTCCCCATTCAGTACCTGCACAAGTGCAGTTAAATTGCTTTGCTCCAACCTTGGGCGCATCGAGACAGTAGAAAGGAGCTGTGAGGAGTTGTTTATTCGCATCCACTGTGATAGAAAACAGCAGCGCTCAAGAGGACATTGGTATTCGATTGAAACAATCATTTTGGCAGTTGAATCTGTGGTGGTGTGGTGTCAGTGCATTGGGCTCTTTGCTTGCTGCTATGTTGTCTTCTGGGGCAACACGGTGACCAGCACAGAAACATGCTTCCATGCAACAGGCAGCGAGGCCGGGTAGCTAGTCCCCCTGAGGTCCCTGGGAAAAAGATCGTCATCAAGCCCGTAAGCTCGTCAGTTGCTTAAAATTGAGGTAACACATCATCATCAAGAACACGGGGCAGCAGAACCACACGATGGCTGCATCGTGGATGAATGGGTACCTCGATGGCGGAGGTACGGCTACACGCCCAGCATGCAAAACCAAGGCTGCAAAGATCACAAAGGACGCAGTCGCCCACTCTAGAGAGTCCAAAGTTTGCCACCCTGCGCCCGTCCACTGCGGTCCACTCTTACGGCGTTGTGTCCTGCTTTGAGCTGGCGGCTGCGCTGATTTGCGGGGCCCCCCATTTTGAAGTGGGAGGCACAGGAAAGCGGCAGAGAGGGCTACGTACTGGAGTGCGAGGCCATCGCGCTCCAGTAGAGGGTACATGGAGAGCATGGCAACCATAGGTGCCATCCGGGCCACGAGCGGCTCCTCGACCACAAGGAGGCTGATGGGCATCAGGACCAGAAGAATGGACTTCTCATGCACCTGCACAACGTCATCCACATAGCGCTGTTGTCGTGTTGTTGGCATCGCCTCTCTCGAGTTCGCAGTGCAATTCCAACCCAACCAACGAAACTTCTGAGAAGTCTGCGGTATTTGCAAACGTACTGTTGCAAATATTGGCAACCAGGTCACCTCAAATTCAGGGCCAACAATGACTTGTGCAGTTGCATGGCATGCGACCATCTCGGAGCAGAACGCCTAACTACACAGGAATATTCGCACAGCACACTTAGGGAAGACACTATGCCGAAATTGCTACGCTCAGCGTCAATTTGACGCAGATGGGGGTGTCCCAGACCTTTGACGCAGGTGGGGGTGCCCCAAACCTGTGATGCTAAGAGATTGCATAATTGCAACAAAATCGACATAAGCTTGGAAGTTATCCCAAAAGCTGCAGAAAAGCGACAATAAACGTATGACTCATCTCAAAACCTCCCTTTGGCGTTCATTCTTCGCAAAAGGCCCCACAAAACCTCGATTGGCGGCCTTCAAAAAACCCCCCCATCATCTGCATTTTGCATCTCAGTTTTCAGTCCACAGAAGTTGCTTCAGTTTGGCTGTTTTTCTTTCTTCAAAACATAACAAATTGGCACCACACCATAATGTAATGATGCTGAGTCATCCTGGCTTCGACATAATCATTGACGCTGAGGAGGAGGGGGAGGGTGGGCGGGTGGGGGTGTCTGAGCTGAACGTCAAACTGACACTAAGCATAACAAAATCGACATGGCGTCTTCCCTTACTGCAATGCAATAGATCGTCAGTGCCGACCCTTGGACCTGTAGCTGCATGTGGTTACCTGATAAGAGAATAGGAAAAACGCGAGCGCTGAGTTCGCCATGGAGTACATGAAGCCATGGCTGGAAGGCCAGCGAATCTGGTGGAGCATGCTGGGCAGCAGCGCAAGGAGCGTGGCAAGGCCGCAAGCCTTCATCAGCGCCTCGTTCCCCATCCAGCTCTTCCATTTGAACAGGACCGCGGACGCACACCAGAAATTCGCCACGTAGTCCTCAAATACGCCCCGTTCGATTGGAAAGAGGCGTCGCAACAGCTGCGGAAGCAAGCAAGCAGGGGCCCAAGTCAAGTCGGAAGAAGAAAGTCCTAAAAATCGGCAGCCGCCGCACCAATCGAAGAAATGTGCGCACGCAACGCACCATACATCAAAAGGAGCGAGGGAAGCAGTTGTCACAAAGCAACTTCCATAGCGCCAATTTAAAAATTGAGCGATGCGCGCTTGTCGTGTCTTGTATGGGATTGTACTTGCAATTTAAAATTCAATTTCAATTTTCATTTAAAATTGGCCGGCAGGGCAACCGTTCCTCCATGCGCCTTGCTTCGCGTCTGCCAGCCAGCGTTGCATTGTTGAGGGCTGCTTTTGCATCTTCTCCGAAAAGCAAACGATCCTGACAAGCGTGTCAATATTATGTCCTGGGTTCGCTGCCAGATTGTCCGCCAACAAGAATGCGAACGTGACGGCCTACAGGTTGTTGCCATTGGCACAGAACGCAACTGCAGCAGTGAGGTGGGCTACGAAAGAAAAGTATCCTCACACGGTGCATAGCCAAGTCAGCAGTACAAAATGCAAGCTGCTCGCCCTTTCAGTCTTCTTGCCTACTTTCGCACCAACAACAGCTCCGCAAGTATGGCCAACGTGATAAGGTTTGAGCAATTCGCTGTCGGGGGCAATGTTACAACTTGTGCATCGGAACCGTCCCCTGCCATCGCCCAGTATATGCAACGATATGTATTTGTCGTACTTGGATAATCCAAGCTATACATACTTAAGCATGCAGAAGTCTGGCAACATTTTGAGAAATGATACAGCTGTTGGCAACATTTGTGGAATGCGGTGCTCTTCCCACCTGCTGAGTCCCGCCTGGTCGCATCATGAACGGAAGCCAACACACCAAGAAAGTACCTAATACAGCCAATCCACATTTCGAGACTGCCACCACCTGTAATCGCAGCCACCAACGTAGCCAGTGAGCAGCAAGCAAGCCAAATGCCTTCAGTTGTCGGAGAGCAATTTCATAGGATACCGTAGGTTTGTCAACCCATCCGCAGCGAAAATTTTTACCGTTAGGCTTTTTGCTCCACATTCTGTTTTTCAGAGCATTCTTTCTGTTATTACTACGTTGCTCCGCAAACAAATTTATTAAATTGCGCTATTTATCTTCTTGTTTTCTCCGCAAGAAAAGGCCAGGCGTTACGTTACTATGCGGTAGGGTTCAAAAACCTACGATACCTGAGATTAAGTAGCTTGGGATTGGAGAGGAGACACATAAATCGTGAGGGCAGCCGATGCACGGCTCTGGACAGGACCATTTCCTTGTAAGACCACATACTGTTCCTGTCTATATTGTCTGGCTCTGCATATGAAGAACGGTGCTTTGGTAGCGGCCCCAGAGCAGATCTTTGACGCACTGGAATTAGGCTCCTGTACGGTTGCTTCAATCCTCAGCTGCTTGCGAGCGCCCATAGCCAGCAAGCCATTTAACATATGCATACACGAATGTTAAGAGTCTTTGCTACCCCCAGTGCTCGTTCAATGGGTTCGGAGCTGTGCATATTGTTGTTGAACATCCACTGAATATACTGTGGTAAATAGTCCGCTTGAACAACATTCACATTTGCTCGCATTCCCACCTTGGCCACCGGCCCTTTCTGCCGGAGGCTGCAGCCCAAAAGGTAGCTGAAGAAGGCCGGGGCATAATACAATGTCATGTGCTTGTGATTCAGCGCCAGGCAGAACAGCACGCTACCCAGCACATGCCTGCCCGTCACAACCCCTATTGCTCCCCCAAGAGCCAGCCCTAGACTCAGGGAGTTGTACTGAAAGTGACCATGGTCTATGATCACGGCGGCGGGCTGCAGCAGCAGGCAACTGAGCACGATTATTTGCCCCCTGCCAGACGCTCCAGGGACAAGTCTCATGGCAGCAAAGGCAGCAGGGAACATCACTGGCACACAGGCACAACACATGTCCAATCAGACAAGACACGCAAAGGCTAACAAGAAAAAAACAGGGACCAGCAATGAAACCCTTGCAGTGATGGAGACATGCATGTGATATATATGCGATTTCACACATAAATGTCCAAGTACTTTTTGGTTAGTTTGGTAGTTTTGGTTACATTGGTGATTCGGATTGCGATGGGAGCTGACTTGCATGGATACCCAGGTGGGTTCACAATGGCCTAAATCATGTGATGAAGCTTTAGTGTAGACCGCAATGCATTTGTGACTGGGACGATGGACAGCGAATGGCAGTGGGACAGCTGTCAACACTACTGGTCAGGTGACTTGGAAATCAAAATGCAAGAGAATCCATTGGTGGATGCAAAGTCAGTCTAATGCGAACATTGTGGTGGGCATCAGTCCAACAGTGTTGCAGGAAATTGGGCAGTGCTATGCCCATTCGGATCAGCCTGCTTTAGGAATTCATCAGTGCAAGAGTGCACATGCATTTTTCTCAAACTGAGCACACATATTTCTGGACACACCTTCAATAAAGTCCAGACTAGTAGCGTATACTGGTAGTGTATGGCATCTACAGCTGGATTTGCTACATGGCCTGCAACACATATTGTCAGAGATGTGTAGCAGAGGTTGCCACAATCAAATTGACAGAAACACACCTAGAACGTCAGTGACGACCACGCTCCATCGCATGAGCAGTTTGCTGTAAGATGTCTCATAGCCTTCAGAAGTTTTGAGGGCAATCATGTCTGGATCAAACTGCCGTAGCACATGGCCGTACAACCAGCTCTGCAGCAGCACATGAATGGTGGTATCACCAAACAACGGATGGCTTTTGGCTCCTGTTGTGGCTGGAAATGTAGAAACCAACTAAACAAAGTATTGCACACCTGTACTGCACATTGTGCACAGAGATTGGTCACAGTACAGTCCAGTATGCTTCAGCGCAGTACAGTGGAGTCCATGAACATGCATGCTCATTTGGGGAATATGCTCTCTAAAATGGACGAGTGGGTAAGGGTGTCTTCACTGAACGGCCACAGCCAACGTCCCACTGATATGCCATTTGCAACCACCTGAAATGCACTCAATGGTGGATAATCGATGCCCCAGTACTCCAGTCGGTTGTCAGAAGTTGGCCAATACCTGACAGTAGACGGTACCACAGATGGCGTCAATGCAGCCCCTGATGGCTTACAGTTCCCAATACTGCTGTCTTGAACTCAAAACGCAAAAGTTGGCTTCTACCTGTGCTATGGCCAAGCCGAACATGCAACAATTTGGCAACACACACACACACACACACACACACACAAATCGCAAGCCATGGAAAAGATGTGCCAATGCTTGAATTTAGAAATTTGTCCAGAGCAGGATGCCAGATTCTCAGCTGCGCATTGACTTCCCTTGCTTCTCTACTATTCAAAGTGGATGCCCACGTGCAGCTGGGATGCACCTGCCTATGTGAATCCTCCTGTCAGCAAACCTCTTGGCTCCAACTCATGCAGCGTTGCATGAATCCCCAGCTGCAGTTAGGAATTTGTACATCGGATTTGTGAGAAGGGGATGGACCAAGAATTATGTTTAGGAAGGAAAATGTTGATAAGAGAGTAGGAAGGATAGGAGACCATGCTAAACACACAAGGAGAAAGAGCCAAAAATACACTCAAGAGCAAGATGCCTATTGGCTCTTCCTGGTTAGAACTGTGTTCATGCCGTTCCGCATGCCACGATCCCCAATTGATTGAGGGGCGTTGGAAGGCTTGTTTATAGCTGGAAACACTGCAGCATGGTATGCAGGCACAGAAAGCCACCAAGACATCAGTGCAGCAGCATTGGCAGTGTCTTGGACTCTGCTCGAAGGCACCAGGGCAAAAGATATGTAGATGCCCAACAGGCCATTCGTTCAATCTGTTTTAATCACTGTCATCAGTGCAGATGTATGTGCATGGATAACAAGGGAGCATGGGAGCAATACCCCGCTACTGAGGTTAGTGGCTCCTACTGTCACATCCTAACACATCCACCTCTGCGATGTTGCCAATCAAAGAAAAGGAGCATCAGAAATAGAAAGTGCTGTGTCTATGTCCCCAATTAGGAAAATCCAAGAAGCTGTACGAGCTCACAACGCATGCAACCCAGCTGTGCATGTCACTCTTTTGCCAGCTGACCAAGGCAACAGAGGGCAGTTGTGACTGGGACAGTCACTGGGTTGTGCATCAGCCGTGCACCCACCAGTCACTCACTGGCAAATTGACAGTGATTTCCATCCAATGTCTCTGGGCCTCATAGTCTCCGTACTTTGGATGATTCCCCATTCCTGTTGTGGCGGAGCACAAAGGAATGACATAAAACGTTCAATAGTGCATTGGATGGAAACACGCAAGCAGCAGCACAATGGGGCTGGTGATTCAAGTTTGACTGTGCAAAACTGCAACTAAGAAGCCAGGTTGTGCAATGCGCATCGCTTGAGAGCCAACCTTACACAAGGTTTGCCTTTCCCAGCATGTACTTTGCTGCTTAGTGTGCAAGTCATATAGTTGCACAAACAGGTCCCTAATCACTCAGGACAAATCCTGGCCCGACCGATCACCTCACAACTTGCTGGACAGCAACATGATCAACGACGCTTGTGCCACATACCAAAGCACAGGAGCATCTGTTCTGATCTGCCCCGTTCACCTCGGTCTTTCCCATATTAGGGATTTTAGGCAGAAGATTCCAGCTTTCACTTGAACATCGCAACGTACAGTTGTTTGTATTCTCCGTTGATTGCACCTATCCATGGATGGCACTGTGCCGCCTGCATTTGTGAGGTGGCATTGTGTGTACGTGGCTAAGTTTTTGCACCAAGCAACACATTCCTAAGAAGAAAATGGAGTCAACATAAACGTTGCGAACAAGGCTCTCTGTTCCACGGCATGCCATTCTCTCTGCAAGTTTAGGCGTCAGCCAACTTCTATTAATGCTTAAGGACTGTGGGCCAGCCCAAGTTCTGAGCCTCGGGGCAGAAGGGCAGGATTCCCTTGAGTCAGACTAACGTCGAAATTTGAGACTGCACCTTGATATTCAGCATCCACCATGCGAATGATTTGACTTGGTCACTTGCGTGGTCTTGCATTGATAACACGTCCGTGTCAAAGTGTTGTGATCACTTGCTGTTGCACTGTTTGTAACTGCATAGGATGTGGACGACCAACGCACTGCTGCCAAATTTTCGGCCATGAATCCTTTGCACACCCGACATTCTAGACGCGACTTCATTGCAGGGGATTTGCTTTCATTCCAATAACAGCAGACCAAAGGCATGTCAACGCTGCGTCCATCGTGAAAATGAAATTAGCGTGCGCTTGTACACATGTCAGCTTGGGCACTGTCACGGATCTGCCAAACGGGGATCCAGGCATCCGTGCCGGTGAACACCCAACACCAAGCAGAACTTCTCCGCCCCTTCCATCTGGGCCGTCAATCTTCTCCAATCAATTGCAGACCAGATCGCCCAACACCCGATCGCGATTCCGCGCACACCACGGCGGCGGTCGCCCAAGGGAGCAAAGGCCACTCGACATGCCCCGTCGGCGTGCTCACCGGAGTACGGGCCCAGCCCGACGGCGAAGCGGACCAACAGCGCGGCACCGACGACCGCGACGACGCCCTGCCATCCCGGCGAGCAGGCCTCGCCGCCCATCCCGCAGCCGTCGACGGCGATCTGCCGACCTCGGAGCCCGCACAGTTGTCTTGGGCGCAAACAAACGCTGCCAGCCGCTGGAACCAGCAGTGCGGCCCCCCTCCGGTGTTTCTTGCACACACCGCGCAAGGAACTCAGCAGCCCACCCCCCTCTTCATAACGCACCTTGGGGATGGCGCGAGTTAGGACTCCAAAGATAGGAGTCCAACTGAGGAGCACCGCAAGAATACTGGTGGTTTTTAAACCCTTCCGCACAGTAACGTTTAACGTAACGCTTGGCCCTTTTTGCGGAGAAAGCAATACTATCAACAGCGTCCTTTTACCAAAGTTTAGGCGGGGCAACGTAAAAATAATGAAAATAACGCTCTGAAAACAAAATGTGGAGCAAAAAGCGGAAAGGTTTTAAAATCCAGCGCGCTGGTGGGCTCGCCTGCTTTGCTGTCGTTTGCGTGTTGTCGTTCTCGTTTGTCTGCTTTCTTGTTCTTTCCAACCGCGTGGAACCCCGTCCCTTGCTGCGAGGGCGCCCGCCGGAGCGAGGGCTGGCCGGCGGCAGCTGGGCGCCGGGAATGGACAGACGGCCGCCCGCCGTGCAGGCGAAGGACGTGCAGACCCTGTGCCCCGCGCTCGAGCTGAGCGAGGAGGCGGCTCGCGCGCTAGGTGGAAAGCTCGAAGGCCTGCTCAGGGCTGTCATCAAGGTGTGCGCGCGACAGTGACCGCTGGGATCGGCCGGGCACACCTGGCGGCGAAGGCCGCGAATCGACGCGGCGCCTTGCGGCGAAACGCCGTAAGCTTGGGATAGTGATCCTCGGAGGCGTTTGGAGGGTGTGATTCTTCCAAGCCCTCGGTGTTTCGCGGCGGGGGGACGGCCTGGCAGCGCATGGGCGCTGGCGGGGGATAAGACCATGCGTGATGATCGGAGAGTGGTGGAGGGGGGGCAGACGGTGGGCGGTGCTCGCAGGACTGCGCGGCGCTGGCGCGCCACTCGCGACGGGTGAGGGTCACCACGGAGGACGTTCGCCACGCTCTGCAGGCGCGCGGGTGCGAGGTGAGGGCTGCGCTCTCCCAGACAAGTTGCCGTCGATCGCATCCCCTTCGCGGCTGAGGGCCTGCGGGCCCATTTGCTGAAAGAAATGGTTTTGATCACACGCCGGTCTTTTTGACAATTCAAGAAGTTCAGGCTCCCGTGAGGAACGAGGGTGTAGCGTGGCTTGCTGTAGGCCTCCTTGCATCGTGATTGGGGGTGATCCATGAAATCCAAAACCAGACAATGCGCTGAAAGATGTGTGTGTGGTAGTCCCATTGTGAAGCCGATCAAGACGCCTGGCCAGTGCAAGAGCTGTGTATTTAACAAGCTGCTGATAGCTGCACCCAAGCACGATTCTAAAGTTCGCATGGTCGTGCTTTTTGGAATGGATACCTGCCCATCAATGACTGCGAGCGCCATATGAAGACAAATTTAAACAAGTAAATTCAGCGTGGTCCTGTGCCAGTCAGTGAACGATTTTAGAGGTGCCAGTTGCAAAGATGACAAAACACATGATGCCAGACTGTTTCCTGAACGTTTATTGCCAGGCAATGTGAAGTCCTTGAGACTGTTAGGAATAGTGGTGTCATCCCATGATCTGCATTGCAAAGAGTGATGTGCTAAGACCAGTGTGTCAATTTCACATTGTCATGGATGCACACACTCACTCTTGCGTTAACAATCCCATTCCCAGATTTGTCTGGCTGTGCTTTTGTATTTTCCGCTGACACGTTTGCAGCCCTGGAACTTGTTCATTCATGAATTCCAAAAGGTTGGCCGGAAAGAAGTAGAGTTGTGTAACTGTTATTGATGCCTGTACTGCAGCATATCTACGGAGCTGCAAGGTTCCAAGATCAGGAGCTTCTTGTGGCACAGGACACTCGTGGAGTCTTATTTGCAAAGGATCCAGAGCTCAAAGTTGATGAGGTTTGTTCATTGTATTCAGCATCCAAAGATTGCACTGGGGGCAGTTGCATCAAGAGAAAGCAATACATTTGCACACAGAGCTCCATTTCAGTCGTACTTGTGCACCTTGCAGCATGCTTCTCTAGACCCTGTGCATCAAAGGTACCCTGCCATGGGGGGTATGTTATCTGTTATATTGCCATGCACGGGAGTGGACACTCGCAATTGATGTGCAGCACACAATTTACTCACCGATGCTGGCATATTGGACAGCAGTGCTTGCTGGCATGGACAAAATGAAAATGGATTTGTGTTTTGGCCAATAATGGCCCCTGCAAGTAAAATGCTGTGGGAAGCACTGTGGCAATCAACATCAAGGAGGTGGCACTGGACATCATAACTAAAAACTGCGAAGTCTGTGCTTCGTCGGGGTGGCAAATGCAAGAGAATCGCACAATCTTGCCAGGTGCCTTTCGTCTTTTTTCCCACTGAGGCTGATGGCATGCCACTGGTCTTCAGATCGACAGCACCAGCTTCGACAGTGCTCCAACAGAGGACATAGTGCACATGCACTGGCTGGCCATCGATGGGGTGCAGCCAGTGGTGCCAGAGAACAAGCCAGCTGAGGCACACAAAACGAAGAGGCGGAAACAGGGCCACACAGATGCAGACATACGGCCAGCAAAGAGGAGAAAAGGTGAGTTTTATTGCTGTTGTGAGTTGAACTTGCATGCGGCATCAGTCCAAAATGGTCGAATTTTTGTTCCATGCCTGCAGGAACCAAAGTGAGTTAAGAATTTGTCCACGTCTGCCAGTGTATACGCCTCCAACACAGAAATCCATTACCTGAATGTGGTCTGCACTTCTTGGATGAAGCACATGAGCCAGCTTAGCCACGGGGATCGACTGACGTGCATCAGCATTGCATTGAGGGTCACGAAGTGGACACTATGGACATTGTATTGTTGTACTTCGGTGTGATAGAGTTGTAGATAATTAAATACTTCCTCTGTCCCGAAATGAATGAAATATTTTGTTTGTGAGGCAACTTTTGCAGCAATTGTTTCTTAATCTATCTTGAACAACAAACTGCAGCAATATTTGAGTTTGCTGAATGCTGCCAAATGGTCGTAGAGAATGGATAAGTATTGTGCAATTGGCAGCACTATGAACCATTACCACTGCTCCAAGAATTATGAATTCCCACTCTGCCTCTGAGTGGGGCCCCTTTCCGCCAACCCCAAGGTGTTGGAAGGGAAGGAAGGAAATGCCACTCAAGACCAACGTGGTAGTGGCAGTATTGTACCTGTAGGAATGGCAGCAATTCTATTCGAACAGGAAGGACGGTAAATGTGTGTCAAATGAACCTCAGGTTACTGTCAAAAGTGCCACATTTCTGAGACCTCCAAAATGGATTGTGTGACCACATTTAGTCACGGAGAGTGTGGTTGCTAAGGTTTCGAGGAGTGGTCTTTCCAAATCTTACACTATGTGTAATGTTCCACTTTTTGGTCGTGTTGTACGTTGGCTATTCCAGACTGTTTCACTCAATTCGGGACAGAGGAAGTACCTATCGTGAGAAGCAAATCCTACATCATGTGATTCTGAAATGTTTAGTGGAGTCACCACATGGAGGTGCACATTCAAGATTATGCTGGGTACTATTTCAGGTTTGAAGCTTATGTCTGGATCGCTCGTTGCTATTTGTCATTGCCCAGATCTCTCAAAACTGCTTTGTTGTGCAAAGGCAACAGCGATGGCAAGTCAGTTGGCTTCAAAATTCGGCAGCCTGTGGTGCACAACCTCACTAAGGAGCAGCAGGAATATTTGAAGAAGGTAATGAGTTGAGTTGGCATCCTGCATGTGGTCAACAAAATATTCAATTCACCTTGTTGTCTTTTGTCACTCCTGAGCAATTGAATTGGACTACGTGCTGTGTGGTCATACTTTGTGCAGCAAATTCCGTGCCGTAGTGTGGAAATCATCAAACTCAAAAAAGAGGTCAATATTCAAAAGACACAGGTTGCGAACAGCAGCTAACAAGGGGAGAACCCTCAGGCACTTGTGCCCAGAAGGAGCTGCCAGTGTGTGGATGCTTCTTTCTGCACAGTCATTTCCTGCTATCCTAGATGCTTGACTTAATGATGCCACAAATGGCCTCCACTGAGCCACAAGCACAATCCCAGCACTGGGACACTGTGTCACATGTGATATTCAGCTGTGATATACGAAGAACTACTATGATTCTGCTATGTTTGTGAGAATGAATGCATTGAATTTTCGGTACAGATCCAGTCTGTGGTTGCTTCCATTGCCAATGCTGACTCTGAGCAGCTGAAGGAGTCAACAGAAAATGGTGGCAAAGTCCTTGAAGGCCTTTCAAAGGATGCAGGTGAGTATGTTTTCATTATTGGCTTGTAAATTGTTGCCATGTAGGGTGTTCAAACTGCCATAGATGGCACGAATGTCGTGGCCAGATGTTCTTTTTTCGTTAAAGGCAGTCGCATGACCCCCCAATATTGGAGCTTTTGACTTCTCAAAGAAATGGAAATATCAACATCATTGGCATTGATATCCATAATATGGTTGAGCTGCCCATCGCTACTCTATGACAAATCGTAAAAGTCCTCAAGAAGGCCGACAAGGTCATCAGGGATTGTGCTCAAGCAAGGTAATACGCGTAACCATTGACAGTAGGTTGCAACATGGAGAACTTGGATGAAAAGCAAGCGGTCTGGGGCAGAGAATCTGTGCACCCAGACCTGTAATGCTAGGAGATTATGTAATTGCCACAAAAACGACATAAGCTATGGATTTGCACAAAGCGCCACTGATTAGTGGCAAACGACTTATACATTGCTTGAAACATCCCTCAAGGGCTCAATCTTCAAGGAAGGTCCCACTTTGTCGCAATTGAGAGCCTCTGGGACCGCCCCCATCGCTTACAGTGGCCTTTAGTATCCCATTTCATAGCCCTCTACAATCGCTGAAACTCTTGCATTGTCTTCTTCAAAAACATGCTGAAAGTTGTGTCAGGCTGTTAGGTAATGGTATTGAGTCATCCTTGCATCGACATAAGGATTGAAGCTAAGAAGGGGATGGAGGGGGTTTCTGATCTTAGCATCAAATTGCATAACATGTACCAAATTCGGCATAGCAGCTTCCCTAAGAGGTCCATGTGTGTGGTTAGTATCTGGCAGATGTCACCGTTGTCACAGAAATGCTGGAGAAACTTGGGGGAACATAGTCATGACGTCAAAGTCACACAGCATAAAAGAACATGGGAATCTGGGTACAGATATGGCACAACCACTTTTAAGAAACTGCGAAAATGGGGGCAACTGCTGTCCAAAGTTTTGATAGAATGCTATGAGTATAGTTGCAGGGCTGTATGACTATCATCCCATAGTTTGGTACTTCCTCTGACCCAAATTACATGACAGTCGTTGAAAACAACAAATACCGGGATGAACTCTTGTTCCAATGTAACAAATGATGTCAGGAACATAATGACCACATGCCAAATCTTTGGAATCCACCTTCAGCTGCCACCGGCATGCCATCTCAGTCCTTGTGAGCATCCCTAAAGCACTGTGTGATGTTTGTAGCCCTCCAACCTTTGGTGCCATACTTGGTGGGCTTCATGAGCCAACAGCTCCAAGCCAGCCTGCAGGGTGTAGCAGAGCGTGGCCCACCCATCCTGTGCATCCTCAGTGCTATAGAGGCCCTCCTCAAAAACCCCTTCATCGACTTGCATCGATACGCCAGCAATGTGATGGCCCTTCTATTGACATGCCAAACTTGCCGGAGCATTGGATCAATAGCCTTGCCGAGTCATGAACGGGTCCGGCACAAGGCTGGGGCTGTGCTGGCGGTAGCTGTCGACAGATTCCGAGGGGTCAGGGAGAGCGTCACAAAAGAATTAATTAAAGCGGTTGCTGGAGACAAGCCTTTGGCAGTGCAATATGGTGCGTGTCTGGTGCTGAAAGCACTTGTTTAGTAACATATGAGTGCTCTGACTAGTTATAATGAATCATCTTTTTATGGATATTTCCTACGACAATGTTGGGTGGTTGCTTCAGTAGTTTGAATCAACCACTAGCTTGTTTAGATTCCAAAATATGAAATGTGATGTACCATTTGGGAATCTAAAAAAGACCAGAAAACAAATGCCAGTTTGAATGTGATTTTAGTCGCAAACCATGGGTTTCTGCCAGAAGCTTTCTGGCCACCTAGTAACTGAGGCCAATCAAAGTCCAAAGTACTGTATGGAGGGTTGTGGGCTATATGGCACCTGTGGAATTTGCTGTGACTCTTATGGTGGAATGGTGTTGATTGTGTAAGCTCCCCCCTTGGTTCCCATTCTACCTGTTTTGCATTGCGCCCACTTGGTTTGACACAACCCAAAGCCACAAAATGTATTGTGAAACCCCAGTTTCTACCGGAGTTTGTTTCTGTGACTTGGGTTCCAATGTAGTCATGGCTATGGACCACCCACTGGTTGTCTCACTCTTCACTCAATTCAACATTGTCTAATAGCACATTGCTCAGCTTTGGCACAAGGGCTTGGACCCAACATCGGTTGTTTTTTAAATAAATGAGGTCCATGCATTTTGTGTGAGATGAATCTTTGTTCTAGTGGCGGGTTGGCTTGACTATATGTCGCATTCCGCCATCCATTGGAATGTCATGATGTGGTGTTTCACCATCTCCATGTCTAAGTGGGCGTATTGGAGCGTCTCAAAGCCATGTTATGCTTCCAACAAATGCATGACGATCAAATGGGCATTACATTTGAAAAGATGTTCGAGGCACCACAAGCAAGCATTGATTTGGGCGAACTCCAGAGTGCTATTTCTTCTCAATGAGAAGAAATAGTGGTGGTGATGTGGAATGTTATCCCCTCATAGTTAACCATAGGAACCCTTAACTCATAGGAATCCTGATGCCAAAATATCACCTTGTGCACAACCACATGGTTCCCTAATAGTGGTTGCGATGTGGTTGCTGAATAGTGGAGCGATCAACATGACATGTTGATCGAACAACCACTTGAGAAATCTGCAACGGTGACCCAAACCACTGCCTAAATATGTGCCCTCAGGGCCCATTACACAATACGGTTGGGCCCTGGCATCTACGGCCACACGGCCCAACGCCTGTGCCCAAGTCATTGGCGCCCACCAGGCCTCCACCAACTACCCGTCCTGCCATAGGCGGAGGGGAGCGATCACCTTTTTGAGGCTGCTCGAGCCCCACGCACCTCATAGGCGCACCGTGGGCATGCGAGTCGAATCACGGCAGCAGAATGCAGGGAGCCATCGGGGTACTGGCCACTAGAATGCACGCCATAACAGGGATTTGCAACAGCACACGCACACCGATCATGGTTCAACGAATGGTCAAGCCGTAGCAACAAATCTTTCTTGGTGGTCCTGCCCTTAATCGAACCACGCAAATGGAAAGCAAAGATGGTTGTTGCCGTTCATACAAGCAGTGTCCATTTGTGGCAGTTTCGTGCCAAAACGTTGCTGCCAATTCTACGACCGAATCGCAACCGCCAGGCTTCCAATCTATCAAGCAAACGTGTAACAAACATGTTACGCACAAGCCACTTTCAATTGCAACCTCCTATAAATCAAAGGTGATGAAGCACGGCACGCAGAGGTATGCAAGTTCTCAAGTGGGCAGTTCGGTGGCTGCCAACGTTGTCGATTCGTTGATGCCAACACGGAAAGAGAAAGGAGTGTTTCATTGCACAGGTGACAATTATACTGTACAATATTAAATCCTTCCGCGTAATAACGTAACGCTTGATCTTTTTTGCGGAGAAAATATTATAAATAGTAACGCAAATCTTGACTTTTTTGTGCAGGGCAATGTAAAATATAGAAATAACGCTCTGAAAGCAAAATGCGGAGCAAAATGCGTAGCGGTGAAATTTTCTGATGCGGAAGGGTTGAATATTTTACAGTAAATGAAACAAGGATGGTTTTCCCTTGCCACTTGGCAACATTCGTCCTTTTCCAATTCTTCAAAGCATTTGTCCCTGGCTACTCAACGTCATATGTTATCCATGCCATGTGGCTGTGCACCACGCTACTTCGCCATGTTGCTCCATGCGTGTGCTACGGTAATCCATGTTGTTCCCTATTGCACTGCCTCTTTTCCGCCGCTTCTCATGGTGCTTCTCTATGTTGCAACTCCATTGCTTCAAAGTGCTTGTTTCAATCACTCTTGGTCCACACAAAAGTATGAGAACCCGTTTCACACGAATCCATCACTGGCTTTTGCTGTGCATATTGTAGATCTCACATTGTGAGATCCAAAACAACATGACGATACAGGGCTGCATGGGCATCAATAATATGGCCAATAAGCTTGTCAAGTTTATTGGCTATATTGTTGATGCCCATGCAGCCCTGTATCGTCATGTTGTTTTGGACTACAACATCCTCTCAAAGTTAGGGATGTTGGCATTTTTTGATGTGTTGGGCTTCCTGGAGAAAGGTACTACACACCGTGAAGTAATGGCAACCATGCAGCGCAAGATTCGAACATCATTGGTCGGCAAGTTTGTGCAAAGAGAGGTGATTAAGGGTGACACTCAATTTAGCGGAAGAGAAAGGAATGAGACTGAGGTGTAGTGGTTGAAAAGGCCAAAAAGTGGAAAAAGAGTCGCTGATAGAAGCACGAAGGTTAGTTGCCAATGTGCATTCTGCGCTACTATCATGGCAGCAAATGAGAGGGCTGCCTTCATCAAGTATTGTCAACATCATGTCAACTGGAGCGCTTTGTCGTGGACCTACCTTTCAAATTGAGCGAAGGGCCATGTTTTTTGGTTACCGATTCAGTGCGAACTTAGGAAACAAGCAACCTTGGACCTTGGCGTTCCTTTTGATCGTACCCTCCTCGATCTTGATGAATTTTGAGTGGGTCTCTTCTTGGAGATGGCAAAGGCAGTGATGCTTTTGGTAACAAGGTACAAGCAATGGAACTTGCATTATCAAGCAATGTCAAGATAATGCTTTTTCATCAAGAATGATTTATCCAATCTCAAGCAGAATGGGGACGTCAAGAATGGGAAGAAGGTTGCGAAGGTGGAAACACAACTTCGCATTTACTATGATGTACACCAAGATGACATCTACATTACGATGAGTAAGATCATTTGGCAAAGTTCTAGAACATTTATTCTTGGGCTTCAAACACTTAGACAAGCACATAAGATGCTTTAGCACGGAAATGACCAAGCAATTGGCATTGATGACACGTTTAGAATCAATAATAAGAAGTTTTCGTTCTTGATATCCAGAGCTTTTGACGAGTTTGGAAATGTGGTCCTAGTTAGCTGGGCAATTCATTAAAAGAAGAAATGGAAGCTTACGTTGGGATTTTTAAAGTAATAAAAAGCAATTTGTTTGGTCTTGACTCGACCTAGTGGCCATTTTGCTTTATTTTGAGCGATTCAACTACAATGATCGCAACCTTTCGAGAAGTGCTGCCAAATGTACCAATTATTCTTTGAGTTTGGCTTATGGAAAGGTTTGGTTGAAAAATCTCTTTTCAAGAGTGATTGATGGGCAAAAAAGTGTCTTGTGATGGCATAGGTGTCCAAAGTAATGAGTCTAAACCCAGTTGGAAACTTATGTGTGGAGAGGGGTGTGAAAGAGTCAATTCAAAAGTACTAGGACTCATGTGCCGAAGATCTACTTTTGTTCAATATTTTAATACGAGAGCTGGCTAGGGTTGTTCCACAATTGGTGTTTGGCACTCAAGAACTTTGAGCACAACGAGGCTAATACTGCTTCAGCCCCTGAACCATATTATAGACGCAGATTAAAGGCATGTTGAGCTAGAGCAAGTCAAAAATGGGTTGAAGACGGTTGGACTAGTCAGTGTGGGTTTTGGTGGATTCTATCATCATTTCCAAAATGATTTTGAGGTTGTACCTAATTAAGGAGGTGCACAAGCAACAATGGTTTGTTCGCAACAACAAGCTACAAAAAGAAGTTATGGAGATATTATTAAACACTAAAGACGTGAAAGATGCAAATGATGTTGTTGCAACAGTAAGAACAAGTACATATTGTTGCGGCCCCATCAACGGTTGTGGCCCCGTCGGCGGCCGCTAGTCTCTAGAGGCGTTGGGGTCGCCCTACTCTGCAACACAACTGTTGGAGGTTGGCCGGCCTCTCCACCTTGGACAGTGGGCGTATCCGGGGCAGCCGATTGTTTGATCGCGCGGTGGGCCCAATGCTCGACAGGGATCGATCCTTGGGGCCTGCTGTATGCGAGAGGTGGGGGCGCAGTGAGGTGGTGGTTTGTTGGCTCACAAGAGGCCAGAGAGTGGGTGTAGAATCCCCCAGGATAACGGTGACCAAACGAGGCAAATGGCGGAGCTTCGGTCAATGTATTACAATGGTGGTGGGCCCCCTGGTCCGGACAGGGTCGAGTGCACCGGCGAACTGAGACAAATGGCCTATGGGGTGCCCACTTTTATAGGTGGCGCGCTCCCCCTCTCGTCATGACACCCTCGGCCTCCTGTAATGTCTAATACACTCCTGTAATGCCACCCTCGGCCTCCTGTAAGGTCACCTCGGCCCTTGGAGAGCCACTCACATGGTCCTTTGCCCCCTTGGCATGCCTCTAGTAATGGCAGGCGGCTTCCCCAAGCTATACCACGTACTTCCTATGTACCATGGCCGTAGGGGCACTTGTACCTATGATCCGATGTAATCCGGGTACCTGACAGTTGCCCGTACTGCCGGATCAACCCCATAATCCCTTGGAGTGTACTCCACCACTTCCTGGCGGCTCCCTTCCGCCCATGACCGCGCATTACATCATAATAGGCTATAATGTTCATCATCACACCGGTTCCATCAAGGAATAATGCCCCAAATGGCCAGAAATGGGCTAAATAACCTAAATTGCCTTAATGACATCATTATACCGAAAATTGGCCCATTTAACAAGATGAACGTGGCGATCATGATTAACACATTTCTAGACTCAGATGAACACATCTAACTCATCTAAGTCATCTAATTACCCGTCAATGTACAGTAAGGTGTCCAGTCACTACAGTGGGCCATAACCAAGTTACACGGTTCCATGCATAGGCGCGCACATATTCACATGCACGATGCCTGATCGCGGGTCTATCACTGTCACATCAAGACAAGACAACTCTGTGTCTAGGCACTCATCACTGTTCCATTCCACCCATAATCGACCGGCCTTTTCCCCTGACACCTTGACTACTGCCCCTGTGTGAAGCTCTTAAGTATTGTAAATTTGCAAAGCCGTCATTTCCAATTCTTAATCAATTGGAACATTTCAATGGCCTAAACGCATCAGGAGAAGGTAAATAACATGTACAGTGGGTCGATTTATAGAGATTGATAATTGCCACTCCAGAAAATGTTAATAATATCTACCCCAAGTGACAACATCACATATACAATATACAAAAATAGAGCACCCTAGGTTTGCAACATGTTGTGTTTATTTTGCACACCCTGTTTAATTGTTGTTTTTGTGTTGTTGGGTAGCAAGGCAATTTGTGTAAATATTTTGTGAAGGTATTGTAATTTGCAACGAACATGGATGACTTCAAAAATCTTGAAGGCTTACCTTTTGGCAACGCACCTTGTGCACTTGGTGTAAAACCTCCACCTCCAACATGCCCAAATCAAGGCAATATTGGACAATGCTCTCCCACATCTCTAGTCTTGGTGGGAGCACATAAACTTCCAGATCCCCAAATGTTGTTGAGTTCGATGAATGCATTAGTGGATCGGAAGTTGATGCAAGTGCAACTGCCAATGACCCTTTAAGTTAGCTGGTTATTGGGAACACAAATAGAAAATCATGCGTTCATCAATATCTATCCTATATACTAGGGCCTTGCATTGTGCAAATTGCACACGGGTGTTACGCTTGTCAATTTGAGACATTGCCGCACTATATTAGTGAATATTATTTATGTTGTTGCCATATACTTCCAACACTCTGCCTTTAGCTATCCATGTCTAGTTGACACCTTTTTTTGCATTCAATACATATCATCCGCCTTTGGCACATTCTTAGTCTAGTAGCATCAACAAGATGTGTTCCTTAAAGTTCATCTCCTTATTCCCTTACTTCCTTTTTGATATTAAGTCATTCACAGAACACCATGCTCTGCTCCACACAATCCATATTCTACGAACTTCCAAAATCACCAGCCACATCTACTTACACGTCACATTGAATTCTCCTTTCATTAACCAGATGTCCCGATCAAAAATAGAATGAGAAATGGTGTGAAACACTTGCCACGATTTTCCATAACAAGTGCATTTCTCAGATGCCAATTGGTACCACTTCAAAAAATTTATCTTTGATGGATAAATTGCTATTGTGTTTGGCTCGCTCCTTCTCACCTAATGGGGATGTATTCCTCGTTGTCCATGTCATCCCTCTCGCTCTCCTCCTCATCCTTCATCAAGTCAATGAGATCCATTCCCTATTGGTACCTCTTGTACCATCCACCCTCACTCCATCACCCTCTATTCTGTTTCATATCCCTACATACGCTGAGTTTTGTGGATTTGCGACTTCCTTGTGTTTTGCCCATCTTGGTGGCAAGGTTTTCTTAGCCAATTTGTATCCCATCCTTTGAGGCAAGCAATCTTTGTGGGAGCACTTATGGCTAAGCCCCCAAGCACTCCTTCATTTGGAGGTATGGTGAGGCACTAGACCATTGGATGGGTATTCTTTGAATCCTGATTCGATGTGTTATGTTGACACATTGGCAACGGACACAAGCCTGATGAATTTGGGGCACTTGTTCCTATAGTGAGCTTGAAAAAGCGAGTCACTTTGGTGTATTTTTTTGTAAGCCAGATCCCCATGGAGCGGGATTTATGTCTATTTCATTGGATGGCGATTACCACCTACGACATGCATGAGCAGTTTGGGCATATCTGCCTCAGAGGGGTCCCAAATTCGCATAGAGTGTCAATGGACATTTTGGGGAATGCCAAAATTGTGTTTTTGGAAATGGTTGGACAATGCTTAGTACTTCATTGTATTGTGTTGTACCACATTTTTTGAAAGGGCGAATCAAGATAGGCCGTTCAACAACATCACCAACTTCATGCATCTCACGGGGGAACAAGTTGTGTGTCTTGAAGACTGTTGTAACAATGAAAAAGCTGGTACGAAACAAGCACTTCCTTTCTGAATGCGATTGTACAATGGTGTTTTCGCATTGCTGGAGGTGGTTGGTGAGATTGTTGGTATGGTGAAGAATTGCCCGCACTGAATTCACCCAAAGACAAGGGACATATACTCAATGGACTAACCCTCGTGCTGTATGGTGGGAATCTGCTCATGCCTCATTTGTCACAAGCTCGACAGAAGATTGTACACACACACTGGGAAGTTGATGGGGATCGGTATCGTCCACAGTTGTGCTTGCTTACATTTCGGGTTGGCGGATTGACACGTGTCCCACATCCACGACAGGGGCAATTGTTGGACTGTCTTGCCTCGACCTCAGCACCTGGGCAAGGGTTGTCCCCGACTTGGCGAAGGCGGCCAAGAGGTTGAAGGGCATCGTAGACCAGGCTGGTCACAAGGACGCGGACCGTGGACTGGTGAGTTTAGTTCCAGGCATCGCTTCAGCCCCACTTTGCAGGAAGCTTTGGGTCACAGAAGGCTATGGCCATTGTTTTCTTGGTCGGCAGCCTCGGCCAGTATATCAGTTGGACATCATGCATAAACACAAATGTGTCTTGCCACCGTCCAATTCAATATAATACGTGGAATGGACCTGCAGCGGCGGATCATTTCAACAGATGGAACTGTGATCACAACATCCACTCCACGCGACCATAGCTGCAGACTGGATCGTCTATGAACACACACTCCTGCGATGGCAGATAAAATCCCCATGGGGAACCTGGCAGCACCCCAGATGTGACCCAGATGCTGTCCAAGGTGGCCAATAACTGGCTAGCCACTATGGCGAGCGTTGGCAATCTCATTGACTGCCAATGATACAGGGTCTGTTTGGATGGCCAATTTGCATCGCCTATGCCGTGATCTTGATTGACAGTTTGATGCACGCAACTCATCACGCACCCTCGGCTTCTAGTCAACGTTTGAGTCGGCACAGCTCGCTGGATAATCGTGCTGGATTTATGTTTTTTCCTTTTCTGTGGTCCGCCGCCTTCGTGGTGTGTTGCATATGTTTCTCAAACTTTCCACAAACATAGTCAAAGCGGATTGGAACCAGTGTTGCCTTGATTTCCTTGAAGCTTGCTTTTGGCGTTCATTGGGCAGGCAGCGAAGTGCTTGGAACACCTCGAGGGGCTGCTGCGATCGAACAGCGTCAAGTCGGACACCTTCCGGGCCGCAATGTCTGAATCCATGCCGGAGCTCGCCTCCACTGCAGATGGACAGCAGAATGGTCATTCCACATCGTGACGGCCTGCTGCCTGCCACGAGACGTTGGGAAAGATAGTTTCGCTGGCCATTGCCTTATCATAGCACTACGTAGTAAGACATAGCGTATGGGTTTACCAAGCTTTAGGAGGAAATCAAGGCAATGATGGTACGGATTGTGCACCCGGTCTGTTTGCCGATCACGGGGTTAACGAGTTTCTTGAGTGCACTTGCAATCAAGTGTTCCTCTGATCAGCTGTTGGGTGTGGTCAACTAAAGAACACGCGGCACAAGCAGCGGCCTTGCGCCAGTTGGTGTGAGCCCGCCTCACATGCGACTGCACGCATGGGGGGCTGATACCTCTAGTCCCGCAGTGATGCAAGAGCGTTTGCCACTCCTCGGCGACAAATGCAGCCAAAGAATCGGTACCCAAGGCCGACGCCACCCTTGAGGCAAGTACAGCTATCCGCCACACGAAGCCATCGGTAGAGGATCTGTGGAGCGACCGACAAACCCCTCCAATTGCTTCCAGCCGGTGCATTGCCCGACGCGTCCACGTCGCCATCAAACACCTCGCATTGGCATTGCATGTGCACTTCCAAGGACATCGCCGTCTGAACATATTCCTCAACTGCGTAAATAAACACTTCCGGCGCTTCAAACTCGCCGTTGAGCAAATTGTTACAATTTCAATGGCGCTGCATCGTGTCCAATCAGTACCCACTCCGCTTGTCGACGACGTTTCTTAGCTCGCCTGTGGAAACGTACTGCTTGGCGATGTCCACGAAGATCCCCAGTGAGTCGTGCTGGAACATCGCCGTCCTGTCGGCGCAGTGGGCGGACATCAACACGTTGTCCAGGGTGTACAGCGGGCTGTCTTCCGGCAGGGGCTCCGTCTCAAAGACGTCCAAGCCCGCGCCTCGGATGGCGTTTTGTTGGAGAGCTGTGGGCAGGACAGAAACACAAGTCTGGCTACCTCATTCCGCACAATATGGTAAGCACCTTCAAACCACTTAAAGAAGAAGCGGTATAAACAAGTGCTGTAAAGTGCGGAGCCTTTACAGCTATTTCCCAGAAAAGGGTTCAAAGTCCGAGACACTGCGGGACACACCCCGCGAGGTCACCAAGTTTCACTGGTTGCGAAAGTCAAAGTGGGTAGGACTCCCGCGTTCACGGCGAATCCATTCTGGACAATCTGCATGCGGATTTGTGCCCGACGTCGCCCTGCAACTGCGAGGTTGCGTTCATCAGTTTTCGATATATGCAATCCATGGATTGCCGTACTGTTGGCACGCCATCAAGTTGAAGGCGTGATGAAGGGCAGCACCAACAGAAAGCGAAGACGTTGAGACTCGTTGCCGCCATGTACGAAGATAGGCAAAAATGGCTGTGTGTCAGGGTGGGAAGCCACAACTGCGACCATGTCTGGTGGTCATATTGTTATTGAAATAATGGCGGCAAAGCATCGCTCGCCTGATGGCGTTTCTCCACCGACGCGAGCACAGTGAAGTAAGGAAATTTAGTGAATGTTCCCAACTCTGTTGGTTAATGGGTTGGTTCACCGTGGACATCCCATGTTGTCGCAGTGCTACAATACAAATGTGATCCAAAAACAGTCGCAGCACATTCGCCGCAAACCCTGTTGTCGCGGTGCTACAATGCATGCCGTAAAAGCAGCAGCGGTGCATTCACCGTACTTAGCCCCAAGCTCAATGCTCTAAGCAAATTCTCTGGACTCCTTTGTCAGAAGAGCAGTTACAACAGTTGTTACCAGCAGCCGCACCTTCGATAAGGGCCTGTTCATCCACAGTCTTTCCGCGACCGACATTGATGAATACGCCATTGGGCTTCATAGCCTGGATGGCCTCCCTGTTGATGAACTTGTTCGTGTGGGGGGTCATCGGTAGCGCGGCCACGACGTAATCGGAGGTCGACATCAGCGAACACAGTTCCTCAGGAGGGTAAATCTTGTCCTACAGAAGTGTGGGACACCCAATACATCCTCACCGACTACAGTTGCCACAACATGATGAATCGCTGCCCTCTCTGATGCGCAGCTCAATGGAGCAACGCAGGGTGCATTAGGGCCCCGTCCAGCATGAAGAGCATCTACCATACCGACATTATCACTGAATACTGCTCAAAGGACGGTCTGCCGTCAAGGGAACTTCGGTCTTTCACTACATTGGCGTTGTAATGCTAATGATACAACAGATTCCAAACAGGTGCATTCAAACGGGTTTGTCCAGGATAAAATAGCCCTGAAATCTTCATGGCGTCCGTGGATACGCGCTTCATGCACATTTCAACAGCGCCACTTGTTTCCCATTCGCAGTATCTCCGCACTCAGGCCGTCTGTGCCAAAGAAAGGACAGAAGAAAAGTCCATTCAAAAATTGAAGAAATCCCACTGCCATGCCAGGAAACATGTAGTAACGAATGCTGCGTCACGAAGTGGAAGCAGCGTTCAAAGTGTTTGTCATAAATAAATGCTCTCGTCTTATTCCCTAATCGCATGCCGCCCCCCCCCCCCCCCCCCCCCCCCCCATTAAGTCTCATGCGATATACGCATGCTCATACGGTTGGAACAGGTCGCTACGCACGAAGGCGCGCAGAAGACCCTGTCGAAACCACTAAATCCGGCACAAACAAACTCAGTGCCAAGCGTGGGCGCATTTGGGCGGGGTTCTCAAGCACGGCGCCCGACGCAATGCACACATACCACCAGCCCCTCTCGTTGCTCCTCCTCCGACATCTGCACGTTCCTCCGGAGTCCCACCACGTTCATCTTGAAGGCCCTTCCCAGCCGTGCGCACGCCGAGCCGATGTCCCCCAGGCCAACCACCCCCATGGTGCTGCCCCTCAGCTCCTCCACGTCGAAGACATCCCACTTCTTGGCCTTCTGGGCCGCCCGCATCCGCGGCAGGTCCTTGGCGAACCAGTTGCATGCCGTGATGGCGTACTCGGCCAGGGAATGGCTGTAGGCGCCCTGGGCGTTGGTCAGGGCGACGTCGCTCTCCACGAGCTCCGGAAACAGGAGGTGGTCTACGCCCGCCGTGGCCACGTGCATCCACTTCAGGTTTTTCACCTTTGAGAAGAGTTCCTGAGGAGCACAGCGGGTTTGCGTGTGACTTGTTTTGCTGATTACGGGCTGCCTTCTTTGCAGGTTGATATGCCACAACATGGGAATAAAAGGAAAAGCATAACCAATGAATGAACCGTTACACAAACATGTATGTGTAGCAATGATGACTATGACGCCGACTTCGGGACAATCTATGGCAAAACATGGTGAGGGAGATGTTGTCGATATGGTGAACATGGTGAAAGTAACAACTGATGAGTAGGCCGCCGACACCAACTTGTGTATTCAGAGGTGAAAACAGACATGTGCCTTTAAGGCCTGTCTCCTGCTCCTACTGCATGGGTGAGCGTTTGCTGAAGATGCACAAATCACATTCGCAATTCTTACCCACTGTAGGCCACGATGGTGGTGGACATGTCATCTGGTACAAAGAAGCAATGCATTTCACTTCAATGTGCGATAGCGCCATATTTCCGTATGAACAACGACTGATGTTAATCACATTATATGCAGCAACAACTCAAGAGAATATTGCTCCATCTTGCGATTTTGCAGCACTCTGAGCACATCCACACGCCCATCTCACACGGCTGCAGAAGAAATTGGTCAAGCCCTCTGTACAGGAGCTTTTAACACGAACTTGAATCACCCGTTTCACCTGTATAACATATGAAGAAAATATGTGTAAAAACTATATACTTGGCAACAATACGTACCACCCATGCTCTTCAATAATTTGTCACAACTGCAGTGAGCACATGACTGACTGGCATATCTGTTGGACTAACAAGTTCGTCTGGATGGCGTTATCAAGTTCTCTTCCTTGCCAGAAGCAACATCAACATTTGGGCAGTGAGCAGGAAGAACCGTTGGGATCGAACACTGATTGAGACACACTGCACCCAACAACGCCCCATAGGTGTATAAACCCTTTCAGATTAAACAATTTGCTGACAAATACTCAGCACAAAATGCTGCCATGAATGTAGCCCCTTGCCCACTTTACCACAAAGAGTGTCATGCTCCAGTGAATGTTGCCAGCAAAGACTAAGTCATGCACTCTCACCTTCAGTGTGTCTTTCGTTGTGAAGTTTTTAAGCAGCCCACACAGCAGCATGGCTTCCACAGAATCCCATTGGCCCTCCATGTGGGCAAGCTCCTCCATTGTGCGCCCGGTGGCCATTATGTGGACATTGTCCGGCAGGCCCTTCAGAACCTCCAGTTCAGGCGCATCTTTGGACGTCACCACCAGCAGATTCACAGTTCTTGCAGCGGCAGCACACCTGGAGTGATATGCTCCCATTGATCATCAATGCAAACCTTCCAGCAAATGAGCCAGGGTGTGGAAAGAAACACCAATGAAAGTTTTTGGTAAACGTGTACAAATTCTCTTTTGGATCAGATTTCTGCCTCTGTTTCAAGATTTTCTCACTATGCCCTGGTTTTTGGTCCTATTTTGGGTTGCTTAGGAGTGCACTTGCGGTTGCCAAATGTTTGCTCACAAACGCAGATCCTTTCACATGTCCAAATATTGTCATAAGCTCTGTGGAGACTCAGTTCTGCACTGCAAAGATGATGTCCATTCTCCGTTGCAACTCGACTAGCACAAAGTGCTGCATTGAAAGCATAAACACGCACATTGCAAGCTGATGCTGTGGCGAGGCGTCAATTGATGTTGTCCGAGGTCGTCGAATGTGGACTTTCGCAAATGCTGGTACCCAAGCACCGTTGGATGACAGAAAGCGGGGTTGAAGGGCAGCACAACGAAGCATAACACACCTAGTGGAGCAAACAGCACAAACCCAAGGGCATGACCATCTTTCAGCAGCAAACATGGGTGGATGGGTGCCCAACAACAGTCAGCACCCCTTTCTGAAGAAATTGTTCAATGCTCTTCATCCTACCAGAAAAAGGGGGTAGGAGTCTTTCAATGCAGGAAATGAGCAGGGGAAAGACGAAAATTGCACAGCAGAAGGAGAAGTCGCCTGCCACGATTAGATGTTTGGGCATACAAATGTTCTCTTGGCATCAAGGGCAGAGAAGCACCCATCAGCACCCTTGCACAACAGGGAAATCACAATGGAGCCCAATCAATTTTCATCGCAGCTGTCACGTGACACGTCCCTTTCACCAAGTTGACGATTCCTTCGAGAATATTCCGTGAATATTTCAGGCACCACCATCAGGCACCACCATAGAACCAGGCAGCAGCCCGAATGGACATGGATCTCAGGATGGCATGCATGTTTCCGACCCCTTTGCTTTTGATCTTGCAATGCCCACCGCTGACTTGAAGGGCCCATTGCCAGTTCACTAGTGCAACATGATACTTTGCAACCAGTGGCAGTCCTGTTGCTGGCACCTTCTGGCCAACTACCCAATCCCTGGCACTCTGCCCCCGGGCATCAATTTCAACAATCATTTCCCTGCCTGTCCACCCAAAACATCGGTGCTGTGCAGCCACAAACTGTGGGTTCCAACAGATTGACTTCCAATGCGTGATCTCAAAGGGTGGCTTTTTGCACCGGATCAGCACTGCTCGAGGTTCTGATCATCGTGGACCCCCTCCAAGTGCGATCAGCGACTGGGTCCCCGGCATGAAATCTGTTGCGCTGCTGACAGCTGCCGGCTGCCGCTGCACACTAGTCGGCGGGGCAGTTGTTGCTCGCATCCGCGATAGCGGGGGACAACTGGAGATTTCAACGCGTGTACAAGGCGGAGAGGCACGCTGGGCAGCTTTACCTTGGTCGCTTTGGTCCGCGAGCCCCTCCTGCGCGGCTGATCGCCTCGTCCCCTCGGCGACTGAAGGAACCTCCCGACCTGAACGCTGTTTGGTGGTCCAGACTTCTGCGGACTCCTGTCGTTCCCTTGCAGGGACCGGTCAATGTCTTCATTTGTGTGTGTCATTACTAATGTGCGGTACTGGAGCGAAGTCGACACATTCAACATTTTATTGGGGTGGAAGCGTGGAGTGTGGGCCGAGCCTCGAACCACCGCAGGAATGGCGTCCAAATGGTGAATCTTCCGGCAATGAACCGGTCACGCACGAAAATGGACGCTCGCCCGTCCGATCTTGAACTCGACGGCGAAGTGCACCCACAATGGGCGTCTGTCAGCGCGGCATGTTCATCGTTCAGCGGGGTACAATCCCCAAAAGTCACACAAGGAACAGCGAGGTGGGCCTAAGGCTCGCAGTTGTTGTTACAAGCAAAGCGGTGTGTCCATAAATACCCGAGCCGCTGGGTGCGGCACCGTTACCATGGTCTCTCGAAAGGTCATGTCAAATCCGTACAAGGTACCGCTGTACCTCGCCCTTGGGTGCGCTACCCATGCCTTAACTCACTGGATGTCCCGGTCTATATACAATCCCGTGATACCCAGGGTTCCAAACCCTTCCTAAGCCGCCGGGTGCGTTACCCGAGTCCCTAAATACCAGCGCCCCGCACTAAAGTACTGGCACGAGTTCCCTAGCCCAAACGGATTGTACCACACTCGCCTCTCTGGGTCACTCTACTCCGAACGCTACAACATGTTCCACCAAAAGCTGACTCCTCATGCCGCGGCCCAGAATCGGGTGCGGCACCCGCCATAGTTGGCTCTCTCAAAGTACTGCATTCCATGTGGGTGCGACACCCACCTGGCTCCGGCCTCTTAAGTACGCCAAAACTTGCCTCCGGCGCTCCCATGGTAGGCCGGGTGTGTCCAGCCGTTGTCCCGGGGTGTTTCCAGCTGTGCGGCACCTCTCCTGAGCTGCCAGCTCCACTCCTGGGGCAAGGCCTCTCCTATTCCTCCGTTACGCCCTCAGTAATTCAGTCCGTCGTCCGGGCATTCGCCAGCGGCCATGTCGAGGCACCGTTGGGATCGCCGTCCCATTATGGGCCATCTCTGGTCATCACAGTTGCCGGTTCATCTTTCCAAGGGCAGTTGGCCTCTCCAGAACTTCTAGTACAGCGTCTCATAGGCATCACACATCCTCAGTATTGTCACTCCGTCCGTGCACGGTCAGGGCACATCTCGTAGTCTACATGATCAACTATCAAGCATTCCAGCGCCTATCGGTCCCCCATAATCATGTCAACAGGTTATTGATAATGTCAAGGTACGCGGTTTCGGCGGGGTACTCAGAAAATCGCCACATGGAGCACATGCCGTGGATTGCATTTCTCAAGACAGTCGTTGCAAGCGATGAGGATGGCGAAGGGGAGAGAAAAGGCCAGCCGCTATGTGTCCTGCATCCCAAGATCATTCCACCCCATTCCTCGGCATCCCATGCACCGCCCAGGGGGGTAACGGGAAACAGGGCTGTGGAACGCCCAAAGCACCGGGGTCATGAAACCAACCCAAGGGAACAGCAAAGAACCCCTCGGGAAGGTACCCCGGGAAAAGGCCAAAGTGCCACTTCATGTCAGCAATGCCCGCCGGCTATTTTGAGGACAACTCAACAGTAAAAAGAAATAATTAAGAAGGTATAGAGAAACTTCATTGTGCGCTCTTTTTGAGCATTCCACTCCCAAGACGCCCTTGTTCTGCTAGACAAATTTGATGTGGTGTTAGCTGAGAGCTGGAAGTAGATGAATGGGGAAAATTGTTATTCCAGCAGCTCCACTGCCAACGTCGTGGCTGCAGAACACGCTCGGGACTTGTTGTCGGTTGGTGTCGTCCGTTGATCCTGGCCAACACCTCCGATTTCCGGGGAGACCCATCGGCGATGGGGCACAACAACAGGTTTGTGATTTACCTAAAACAGCGACAAAATTCGTGTCATCGACAGAAGACATGTCAACAGCGAGGAAAAGCCGGGGGGGAGGGGGGGAACTGAGTTAGTGTCATTTTGACGTCGGCGTGACGCAGCTGCCCCGGCCACATTGCGCCAGCATAACCTCCAGAACACAACCCAACAAATTACGCCACCCCTCGGAGGGTGTTAGACCGACACAGCGCATTCGCTCAATACACGCAACCACTGGCTGAAGCTTCGCGGCACTTTCGTCAACGAACGAAACTTGTCCTCAAGGTGCAGAAGCAAAATGCAGCGGCACTAATGAACGCTCCTGAGTGAGGCGGCCCGCCAATCCGTCTCCCGCTCGTCCGATCCGTCCATCAACAGTCTGAGCGAATGACCGCAACCTCCGGCCGCAAAGTACTGCCTGTCCGCTCGCGGCTGCCCATTCGCCCCCCATGCCCCCTTCCCATTCCCCTTAATGTCCCCACCCTCGGCGACGTAGCCCCCAAAGTCGTCCCTGTGGGTCCCCGCCCTCCTCTGGCGGTTCCCGCAAGCCGAGGCGCCCCGCGGCAAGAGCCCGCCTCGCCCCGCGGATCCCGCGCCCGTCCGCCGATCCGCCGGGCATCGCCCGCGGCGGGGCTGGGGCGCGATGAGCCTGGCGCGGAGATCGGGCAACGACCCGCCCCGAGGTGCGTGGCCCGCGGCGGGAACGCGTGGCGATCGCGCCGGCCCTGATGGAGCAAGGGCCGGGGGGTGTTTTGGGTGTGGGGGGTAGTCGGGGGTAAGGGGGGAAGGGGGCCGCAATCTTTTTGTGGGTAACATCTGTTGCAAGGGGAAAAAGTAATATGCCATACTAAGGGCACCCCCTCCCAAGCGGGTGCAGGCGAGACTTTGCCATGTTGTGAAAAGGCGATATAGAGTCTCCAGTGTGAAATGATGACCACACCTCGCAAGCATTGTTTGCTTGGGAGGCCAAGCGCCCTCTTGGAATGGTCGGGTGGGACGGGTTGACCCCGGCGGAAGGCAGGCTTGCTCTTCGCGCCGTTTTCGAGCGTTGTTTTCTGCCCACCCGTGCGCCCGACCGGCCGTGGCTTGCTGATTCCGGGGGTGGGGGGTAGGCCAGCGGTGTGGCGGGAGGAAAAGGGGGGGAGAGCGGGGCGGCTAGCGCCCCGGCCGAGAAGCAGCACGGATGGACGTCCTGCCCGCTCCGAGCGCGGGGACGCGAAGCGCATCAGGGGCGTCGGCCTCGGAGTGCGCTGCGGCGGCTCCTGCGCACCCCCGGCCAGCGCCGGATGGCGCCAGAGGCGCCAAAGCTCTCCCATTGCGCCTTTGTGGAAAATTGGCGATGTTTGGACAGTGGTTGGTCTCTGCCTGTGCCCTGGTGCTGCTTTCCGCTGGGTATCCCGTCAAAAACTGGTTGTGCGCGATTGGTTCATGCCGTTGTCCACCGTCTGGCGCATTTTCTTGGCCTCGTGTCCCGCTCCCAGCGTCTGTTTCGTTCCCTGTGCGAGGCGAAGGTGGTTGTCTTGTTCAGTCATGAGAATTTGCGAACCGAGGCCGGGAGGTGGCCGCAGGCTCTCTGTGTCGCCCGAAAACGAATGCTAGACCAGGGGCCTACCGCGGGAAGCAAGGCCGGTGTTTCAGTCGCTCAAGAAAATGTAGAGAACTAGGCAGAAGGTGGTTGTGTACGCGCTGTGTTGCCTGCAGGACATGTCGCCAGACGGGCGCCTTTGCCTGTAAGGCCGGTATATCTGGGCATCAGGGTGGTTGCACAGCCTTTCCGTAGAAAGGACTGTATCTTCAGCAGATATCGTGTCCAGCTCCAGTTTCAGTGAAAGGGCGACATCGCTGATCTGTCATTGTGTTCTTGCTGTCACCAGGGATGTTGTCCATGGATGACATGCTGCACGTGCCATTCGACCAGTGCACACACGTTTGGGGCGATGCCCCAGCACGAGATGCTGCCGGCGATGGAGCCTGTGGCGGTGGAGGACCCCCATCCCATGAACTGGGGAATGGGCTCACATGGGTACTTTACAGAAGAGATGGCCCCACGGGAGTTCCAGGTGCATATCCTGGGAATACTGTCCTCAGAGGCGACACCGAAAAGCACTGCCTTGCATCGATTGTTGCAAAGTCGCTGTGAGGGACAACCAAGAATGCCACTAGTGCTCATGCTTGACCCATTGCCCTGGCTGTGTGCCCTTGCATTCATGCGAATGTAAGCACCAGCCTGTGCACAAATTGTCTTGAATACCAACTTCATAGAGGCCATCCCCAAACTGGAAACCAAAATCTATATCATTCCCACAGTGAGAGACGTGGATGTAGCTGCAGCGATGGTGGGGTGTGGCGCGATGGGCCGAGATTGGGATGCTTTCCTGGGCTCTGTTGGGGACTGCCTTTCTGGATAGAGAACTGCGCTAGCTCCTGAGTGGACCCTGATCAATATAATTATAATAATATAATATATTATATAACGTATCGATATAACGTATGTGCTGTTGACAGCATGGATATGTGGTAAGGCAATGTCCAGCTGGTGGCAGTGACTGAGGCTCGAAATGGCTTCAGAGTGGCATATTAGCGCAACAGAGGGATTCTGTTGATCGCAGCTGTCCACATTCACAATGACAAGGCAAAATTTCTGTAGACAACATCTGCTGCTTTCTGCTTTCCAGAGGCACTTCTGCTTCGTTTCATTGCCTCCAAACACAGGCACTGGTTTGATGGCGTCCAGTGTCTTGTGCGTCCAGATGTCGCACTCCAATTTTCCTTGCAAGTGTACTGGAACACCTTAGTGATCCCCACAGGGCAGTCGCCACAAGTGCAAAGCACATCACAGGGTTTTGTGCACTCTCTTGTTCATGCAGCTTTGTTTATGCTCTGCGGCACGTGGGCAGCCCCATCAAGTGGCTGCAGTAATTCCCTTCACGATGGTTTGTAGTGCGGCAAACCAACAAACTGTTGGCTCCTGCGACCCAGCTTTTGTGCTCCTCACCTCATTCTACCCACTACACCCCCACAACCACCATCACTTCCACCAGTTCTCTGTGCTGGAGTTGCCTTAGGCAATTTTGGCTCGTGATGTGCCACTGCTTGTTCTCTTGCCAGTTGCACAACTTTCGATGGCTGGATACTGAGGGGCGCTGGGTATTCACTGGAGACCCA